GACCATGAGGCTCTCAAGAGATACATGTTGGGGAGGCCAAACGGCAATTCTAGCTGAGACGTCCCACCAAAATCGGCGCGAACGGGCTCGTGAGATCAGCCAGGGTGGCTCCCCCTTGGGGCTCCCAAATGATGCCCCTGGCAGCGTTTTGTGACCATGAGGCTCTCAAGAGAGACATGTTGGGGAGGCCAAACGGCAATTTTAGCTGAGACGTCCCACCAAAATCGGCGCGAACGGGCTCGTGAGATCAGCCAGGGTGGCTCCCCCTTGGGGCTCCCAAATGATGCCCCTGGCAGCGTTTTGCGACCATGAGGCTCTCAAGAGAGACATGTTGGGGAGGCCAAACGGCAATTTAGCTGAGACGTCCCACCAAAATCGGCGCGAACGGGCTCGTGAGATCAGCCAGGGTGGCTCCCCCTTGGGGCTCCCAAATGATGCCCCTGGCAGCGTTTTGTGACCATGAGGCTCTCAAGAGATACATGTTGGGGAGGCCAAACGGCAATTCTAGCTGAGACGTCCCACCAAAATCGGCGCGAACGGGCTCGTGAGATCAGCCAGGGTGGCTCCCCCTTGGGGCTCCCAAATGATGCCCCTGGCAGCGTTTTGTGACCATGAGGCTCTCAAGAGAGACATGTTGGGGAGGCCAAACGGCAATTTTAGCTGAGACGTCCCACCAAAATCGGCGCGAACGGGCTCGTGAAATCAGCCAGGGTGGCTCCCCCTTGGGGCTCCCAAATGATGCCCCTGGCAGCGTTTTGTGATCATGAGAGAGTGTGAGTGTGAGTGAATGTGACTGTGAGTGAGTCTGAGTGAGAGTGAGTCTCATCTTATCTTATCGAGTCCTATCTTATCCTACCTTGTCATATATATTATCTTACCTTATCATATCTTGTGCTATCTTATCTTATCTTGTAGTATCTTATCTTGTCTTTTCTTATCTGGTGATTATCATTGGGAGGAGGGAGGCGCGAGCGGGAGGAAGGAGGAAGGAGTCCGCGCGTGGGAGGCGTCAGAGTAATGACAAGAACCCCAATCCTTAGGATATGGGGAAAAACAATGAGAATCAACGATTCTCGCCTTTTGGGGCCTCTTGGGAGGCCTCTTGGAAGCCTCTTGGGGCGTCTTGGAGGCATCTTGGGGCGTCTGGAAGCCATTTTGAGCGTCTTCGAACGAATTTTCGGCGTTTTGGGGCCTCTTTGTGGCTTCTTGGGCGCCTCTTGGAACGTCTTGGGGGCCTCTTGGGGGGTTCTTGGGGCCTCTTTGGGGCCTCTTGGGGCCTCCTGGGGGCCCCTTGGGGCGTAAGGCTGGGTTTTCCGGTGCGTGGTCTCTCTCTGGGGCTCCTCTTGGGCCCGTCTCCGGGAGGTTCTTGGGCCGTCTTGGGCGGCTCTTGGGCCGTCTGGGGGCTCTCTTGGGCCGCCTTGGGCGGCTCTTGGGCCGTCTGGGGGCTCTCTTGGGCCGTCTTGGGGGCGTCGTGGAGGCCTCTTGTGCCGTCTTGGAGCAGTCTTGGGAGCTTCTTGGGCTGTCTTGGAGCGTCGGAAGGCCGAAAAGGCGAAAATGACAAAAACATCGAAAAAACACATGAAAATCAACGATTTTGGCCTCTTGGGGCGCTCCTCGGGGGCCTCTTGGAGGTCTCTTGGGGCGTCTTGGAGGTCTCTTCGGGCGTCTTGGAGCCCTCGTGGGGCGTCTTGGAAGCCTCTTGGGGCCTCTTGGGCGCTTCTTAGGGCGTCTAGGCGGTCTCTTGGGGCGTCTGGGGGCCTCTTGGAACGTCTGGGAGGCCTCTTGGGGCCTTCTTGGCCCGTATTTGGGCCCTTTTGGGCCCGGAAGAGCGTCGTGAGTCGCTCGTGGTGGGCCCCCCCCCCACCCCCTCCAAATCGACCGGACCGGGTCCCCGGGGGAGGGGTTTGGGGAGGGGGAAGCATCTCACACGCCCATGACCCAAGGGGTCGGCGGATATACCGCCAAGGGGGATACGATCGAAGACGAAGAGGGTTGGTATCGAGGGTCTGGTTCATACGTGAGGTGTTGCACACGGATTGTTGTTGTTGTTGTTGTTGTTGTTGTTGTTGTTGTTGTTGTTGTTGTTGTTGTTGTTGTTGTTGTTGTTGTTGTTGTTGTTGTTGTTGATGATGTTGTTGTTGTTGTTGTTGTTGTTGTTGTTGTTGTCGCTGTTGTTGTTGTTGTTGTTGTTGTTGTTGTCGTTCTTGTTGTTGTTGTTGTCGTTATTGCTGTTGATGTTGATGTTGATGTTGTTGCTGTTGCTGTTGCTGTTGTTGAGTTTTTCCTTGAAAAATATGTGTTGTTGATCCCCCACAGCGGTGCACAGTGTGTTCTTTCAATTGAAGTGTGGGGCTCGCACCCTGTTTGTTATAAGGGAACATCTTCGTGCTCAAGCTGCGTGCTTGGGCCCCGAACTACAAGCAACAACGGCTCCAGCCTGATACTCCCCCACAAGTAATTCAATATCGCGCTCTCGCGCAGGACTTCCTTTCAATGTATGCATGAATCGCCTCTCACGTGGGACTTCCTCGCAATGTATTCCGACGCCATTTCTTCGACACTCAGGAATCACGCGCTCTTTCTGACCTTTCTCAGAATTCAGGGAATCGCGTTATCGCTCGAGACTTCCTCCCGATTCATGCAGGACTCATGTTTCAACAACCCGCCTGCTCGACCTGGTTGGCTGGGCCCACCTTCTCGACCCGCCCGCTAGGGTCTGCCCGCCCGATCTGCCCGTCTGGTTCTGCCACGTGTTTTCTGCTCCTAGCCCCCCTCATGCAAACCTCTCGCGTGCTCCATCCTTCTCCCTGTCCCTTCCACCCGTCCTCTCTTTCCTTGTTTCAGTGGCTGCGTCATACCACAGGGGGCACGATCGAAGATGGAAAGGGCGGGTATCGAGGGTTTGGGATTTATGTGTTGACAGGCACGCCAGTAGGTAAGAGCGAACATTCTTAAAGTGAATGTCGTTGTTGTTGCTGTTGTTGCTGTTGTTGTGGTTGTTGTCATTCTGGTTTCGGCAGCTGCGCAGCATGTCACTTTTCGCAGTGCAAGCTGTTCTCCAATGCACATGCGCATGGATGCACGCGTAGGCGAGCCCGCGGGCACGCGTGCACCCGCGTGCATGATCATCTAAAATGATGCGGTGAATGCGTGTGGGGAGCATGGAACTGTGCAGCAGGACGAGGAGATGCCTTACGGCCGGTGCCGCCGACACTGAACGACGACGACGACGACGACGACGACGACGACGACGACGACGACGACCACGACCACGACGACGACGACGACGACACCGGCGGCGGCGACGGCGGCGTCGGCGGCGAAGACGACGACGACGACGCGTGGAGGTGTGCAGCAGAGGCAGTTTTGTACTGCAGGAGGTCGGGAATTTAAGCGGCATGATGTTGCTTTGTTGTGAAAGTTGCTGTTGTCTGCGTGGCCAGCAAGAAGCATAGCCCTCTCATACGCGGATCGGAGTGAAGGGCTTGTATTTTGCTGTGGGAGGGGTTGGTGAATCTGGTGGCTGAGCGATGCCAGCCAGAGCAGAAGCCCACTGGCTGTGACGATATCCTGAAAGTCACTAATCGCAAACAGAAGCCGAAGCTTGCTGCAAGCGCAGATTGGAAGACACATCCCACCAGATCTGCTGACGCACATGATCAAACATTCGAAGCATAACAAGGGCCTGCTGCGGTCGAATGTGTTTCTCTCGTCCGTGCGCTTCTTACGCACGCTGGAGCCAGCACCACCCCCTTGGGCCAAACGGAGACGGAGCCGCTGATCCGCTCGGGCCCTCGCCCCTCTCGCCGCCCCCCTCACAGGCCCTGCTGCTGCGACGCGGCGCCATGCTGGAGTTGTCAAAACACGGCGGTGCCCCGCCGCCGCGGATACTCTCAAAAGCGGTGTGTCCCTGCGTCGACGTGCCATGGGCCCCCGCGGGCTCCCCAGCGTCCCGACGCCGCTGGCTGCGTAGCCTCGGGCCTTACGGAGCCTCACCCCCCAAAGGGTGATCGCGACGCTGCCCCCCCCTCCCCCTTCGCCAGGCTCCGCCCGGCCTGAACGAGAAGGAGGAGGAGGAGGTGGAGGATGGGGATGAGGATGAGGATGACGATGATGATGACGAGGAGGAGGAGGAGGAGGCGGAGCAGGAGACGACGACGGAGGAGATACACGCAGCGGAGTTCGCTTGCCTAGCCTGCCGATACGTGTGTGGTCTGGCTGGATTTGTGTGAGCCGAACACACTGACTCCGATAATGATGATCCAAGTGCGCGCGATAAGGGTTGCGAATTGCCGCGCGCACTGTCATCGCTGATGGACTCGCCAGATTCGAAGCTAGACTCATGTGTTGTCCACTGCAGTGCTGGTACACGTCGACGAGTCCGTGCTCGAGTGAGGCCATTGGTCGCCAGTATCGTTATCGCTGCAGGAGGTGTAGCAGGCGCCCTCATAGCCGAGCTACCGTTGCTGCAGTGCCGGAATGAACATTTCAGATGCAGGCGGGCGGATAGTCGCATCCTTCGGATCTGGTGCTGGGTGCGCTGTCCAGATGTGGCTAGTCGCAGGACAAGCTCGGACATTTACAGGCGTCTCCTGTCGCATCTTCCATGGAGGCGCGGCATCACTGACCAGCGCAGCAGCGGCCAGATTCTGGCTGCTTCGACGTTGAGCCGCCTGCGTGATCCCTCCGTCGCTGCGAGGCAAGTCCATCGCCTCTTCAAGTCGTCCTGACATCACAACCCACATCGCCAGACTCGCTCGCGGAGAGCGGCCAAGTTTCTCCAGTGGCAGCGCTGGCTTCAGTTCGTGTGCCACCGCACGCTTTTGCAACCTCCAGCTGTTCATGCTTCGTGCTCTTGTGCAGCTCGGCGTGTCCATGCACATGCTCTGGCGAGGATTACCCAGGATCCCGTTCCGTGCAATTTTTTCCCAGTGCCTTCAAGTCAGCTGTTGAGGGACGGGTTCGGATTTGCTTCGCGTCAGCCGCGCCTGGGGGGAGAGGTTCATCTCCGACGAGCTCGAGGACCTTGGCTTCGAGAAGGCGGTCACGGATGTGGACCTACCGCTGGACGCGAGGGGTGGGATTAGGCGAGGAGGAATAGAGCGAGGGCTCGCAGACTGTGGGGAGGAGAGGCGGGCGACCACGATGACGATGATGATATTGATGATGACGGTTTGGACTAAATTGGTGATGACGCCACTCATAAGAATGTTTACGATTACTACAGCCACAATGATGATGAAACTGTCTTTCATGATGGATAGCGCTGCCGATGACGATTACGATGGCGATGAAGCGTTGGTGTGTATGGCCTGTTGGATTGGGCTACTTCGCTTGTCCTTCACCTCCTTTTACCATGGGAGTGTGGTGTCATGTTCCTGGAAGCCTCTCTGGTAAAATGACTGGCGGTGTCTCCGGAAGCCTCTCTGGGGGCCTCAGGAGGGCCTTGTGGGGGGCCTCCGGAAGGGCAGCCTAAACGGACCTTGACAGTATCATACAGGCGGCCTCTGGTATGATACTGTTGGAGGCCCTCGCTCGTCTCTCATGGGGCCCTTCGGATGACCTCTTGGGGCCCTCTTTGGGCGGCCCTTGGCTCCCAGGGGTCCCCAAAAATCCCAGAGAACTCCCAGACTTGACTGGGACTGTGGCTAGGATTTTTCTAGGATTTTTGGGGCCCTCTTGGGGCCTTCTTGGGGCCCCGCTGGGACGTCCGTCTCGCGGCGGTGGTCTGGCTTTCCGTAGCCGTGTGGGCTCGAAGATGCAAGCCCATGGCTTGCCCCCGCCCGCTTCCTGCCTCCTCGCCTAACCCGAGCGAGGATGGGACCGCCGAATGTACCTGGCCAGCATGTTCAGTGGGCAAGTTGGCACTGGGGCATTGTGGCAACCTAGCTTGATGGGCCCATGCTCCCCGGGGCCTCCGTCAGACCAGTGCACGACGTACAGCGACTTCGGAGCAGTATTTGTTACACTAGCGATCGAGAAAAATATATGCTGCAGTCGATCGCTCCCTCTGATAAGAAATGCTGCCGTCACTGCTTCCGTTGGGGAAAGTTCATGGACGGGTCTGTCCTCCCCTCCCCCCCTTTGGCCTAAAGGCGAGGAGACACCGCCCCTCGTGTTGTTGCCTCGCGACGCCCGGACGTCGTGGGGAGGAGCAGGTGCCCCCTTTCCCAGAGGGGGAGAGGGAGGGTGGGGGCGGGAGGGAGGAGGGAGGAGGGAGGGAGGGAGGGAGGGAGGGAGGAGGAGGGAGGGGGAGGGAGGGAGGAGGAGGAGGGAGGGAGGAGGAGGGAGGAGGAGGAGGGGAGGAGGAGGAGGAGGAGGAGGCCAGAGGGCGTTGTCGCCGGCGCTTGCTGGTGAGACGGGCCGATCCAGTTCGGCCGAGCCCCGGGGGGCACGCAGCCGCGCGCGCCTGCTCCGCGTCCCGTCCCGTCCTCGTCCTCCTCCTCCTCCTCCTCCTCCTCCTCCTGGAGGGCCTGCGCTGGTCCAAGGGCACCGTCCTCACGGCGGAGGCCAACGGGGACCTCGCCGGCACGCCAAAGGCCGCGCGTCGCCAGTGAGGGGCTGGGGTCCACGGAAAGAAGCGGGGTTTCGACGAGAGGGGGGGTGATGCTGATGTTGTTGATGAGGGTGGTGGTGATGATGACGGAGGCGGTGATGGTGATGGTGGTGATAATGATGATCAGGAGGTTGGCGATGGTGGTGATGATGACGATGGTGGTTGTGATGCTCGTGGTGGTGATGCTGATGCTGACGATGATGATGATGATGACGATGATGATGACGATGCTGATGATGATGGTGATGATGATGATTATTGTGATGACGATGATGACGATGCTGATGAGGATTGTGATGATGATCGTGATGGCGACATTGGCGATGATGATGTTGATGATCACGATGTTGATGATTCTGATGATGATGATTTTGAACATAGAGATGCGGATGATGATGCCGATCATGATGATGATGATCACGATGCTGAAACACATGACGAAGACGTTGGCGATGTCGATGATGACGACGACGTTGATGATGACGATGACGACAACGAACATGAACCTGATGATGATGATGCTGATGATGGTGGTGGTGGTGGTGATGATGGTGCTGAGTATGATGATCATGGTGCTGATGATGATGGTGATGATGATGCTGTTAATGAGTAGGTGATGATGGTGATCGTGACGTTGATGTTGTTGATGGTGATCATGATGATGGTGATGATGATGGTGATGATAATGGCGGTGATCGTCATGACATTGTTGTTGATGCTGTTGCTGGTGATGATGCCAGTGATGATGCTGATGATCATGCTGATGATGAGGAAGCTGATGATTATGATAGTGATGATGAGGACGATGATGATGATGATGATGATGATGATGATGATGCTGCTGATGATGCTGAGGACAATGATGATGCTGCTTCTGCTTATGACGAGGTTGATGATGCCGCTGACGGTGACCCTGGTTATGGTTATGATTATGATGCTCATTATTATGATGATGGTGATGCTGATGATGCTGGTGATGATGGTAACGAGGTTGTTGATGATGGTTATGGTGCTGCTGCTGATGATGATGATGATGATGATGAGGTTGATGATGATGCCAGTAATGATGATGCCTATACAGACGGTGACCGCGATTAATGTTATGATGCTGATGATGTTGTTGCTGCTGATCATGATGATGACGACGATGCTGATGCTGCTGCTTCTGATGATGATGATGATGATGATGATGATGATCATGATGTTGCTGACGATGCTGATGATTATGATGATGCTGATGATGATGTTGTTGTTGATGTTGATGATGCTGATGGTGATGATCATAGTAGTTATGGTGGTAGTGATGGTGATGTGGGAGGATGATGTTCAGGAGGAGGAGGAGCAGGAGGCGGAAAGGAGGATGCCGACGAGGAAGAGAAAGGAATTGGAGGAGGCTGGGAGGGTGAGGCGGACGAGGAGGAGGATAACGGAGGATAATGATAACTGAGGAGGAGGAGGCAGATAACGGAGGATGATAATGAGGAGGAGGAGGCAGAGGAGGAGGAGGAGGAGGAGGAGGAGGAGGAGGAGGAGGAGGAGGAGGAGGAGGAGCAGAAGGGTGAGGAGGAGGGGGAGGAGGAGGAGGAGGAGGAGGAGGAGGAGGAGGAGGAGGAGGAGGAGCAGGGGAAGAGGAGAAGGAGGGGGCAGCGCTGCTAGTGGCGGCAGCAGTACAGGCGCTACTCGCCCGCCGCAGGTTCTCAGACTGGCGGGCGGGCTGGAGGCGTGTGACGGGGAGTACGCGCTGACGCCTCAGAAACACAACGGCCGCCCCGTCTGGAAGAAGGCGCCGCGGACGCGTTTGCGCGCGCCCGCCGCGCGGGCTGCCCGTGCCCGCGTGTCAGGCATGTCGTCGGCGCTCAGTGAATGAGCGTGCTTCGTCAGGATGCTGCCAGGACATGACGCGGCCGGCCTGTGCGAGAGCCAGGTGCACGTGTTGCCGGAGAGGTTTTTCCAGCGCCTCGCCCTCCGCGGCCGTGCAGTCCAGGCTTTCGCGTGTGCATCCAGCGCGTGGCTTCCGAGTGTTCCAAACGTGAGTCCAGCCAGTGTGTGTGTGTGGGTGTTTCCAGCTTCCTGATTCCCCCCCCCTCCCACGCGCGAAGCGCACAGTGGAGGCGCACCAGAGGGCGTGCCAGCCCCTCGAATTCGTGGCGAGCCCGCGCGCTGCATGCCCTGGCAGAGCGGAGATGAAGTCTGGGTGATCCGAGCGGTCTGACGTTGTCCCTGGGCGCTCCGTTGAAAGGGGGCTGCGGGCAGTGATTCGGGACGTGGGGCGGGTGCAGTGGCGGCGTCGCTTCGTTGCTTGCATCATCCCTGTTACTTCTATTTCTCCCAATCCTGGCCACGTCGCTATTGTGGTTCCCGGTACCGCTGTGGGTCTCATTCATGTTCGTGCTCTTGCTCTTGCTCTTGTTTTGCTCTGACTCTTGCGTTGGCTTCTCGCCGATGCCGCTATCATTCTGCATGGCGCTCCTGTTTTGGTTTCGCTCCAGCCCCCGCTCTGGTCACTGCTCTAGCTGTGGTGCGCATGCTCTCTGTCAAGGGAGAAAGAACCACACAGGCTCCGACAATGGGCGTTTACTAAACAGCCCTGGGCGCTTATAGCCCTGCCCTGCTCGATTCCTCCCTTGCGCGCGTTGACTACGTGGCTTCGGTGATCGGGGTGCTTAAGGCCGGGGTGGGATGTTCTATCCTCTACTTTGGGTACACCTCAAGGCCCCCCCCCGCCCAGACGTGTCAGCTCATGCCACTTGTCCGCGTCTCGTCTGCGACCCACCAGCGACCCGCCTCCGACCCACGCCCGAGAGCCGTGCGTTGCGAACCACACCCGCGAATCCCGCGCCCAGACCCTGCTAACCGCTGAAGGTCCATAGTTTTGGTCCCCCCCTTTCTCTCGGCGGTGAATAGGACTGGTCCTGAAGCCTCCTCCTCCCTCCTCCTTCTTCTCCTTCTCCTCCCTCATCACTCGTCCTCCTCCTCCTCCTCCTCCTCCTTCTCCTGAGGCACTGAGGCACTGACGGCAACGGAGTCTTCAGACGCTGCCGCTTCCTCGTCCTGAGAGCGCTCCTGAGGTATAAGTCGTTCGTACGAACACACCACGTATCCTTTTTTGACACTTGCACCGGTGTATTTTAGAAGCAGGCCGTACGTTGTTTTTCTTGTCGTGGTGTTTCTTCCGCATCTCCATCTGTTTTTCGTCCGCATCCTTCTGGCCACTCGCCTGCGACCTGGTCCGCGATCTTTCTTTGCATCCTGCCGCCTGCCCGCCACAGCGGTCAAGCACAGACTGTCAGCGCTGGTGTCCAGCTTCCTGTGGGATGCTAGACTGAACACACGCGGCCTGCACGAAGTGCTGAAGACAAGGCTTTCTGATTGAGAGGTGTTCTGAGTCGCGTCGCCGTTTTCGGCATCTCGGGGCCCCTCCCACGCCCTGGGGCCGTCAAAAAGCGCCTGGGGATGAAGGGCTGACGCCGGGCAAAGCCCCGCGTCATCCAGGACCAGTTACCCTCTGGACATTCTTCCCTCATCGCAAATTTGTTGAGTCGTCGCTATGCGCAGTGATGACGGGCACCAAGAAGCCGCAATTGTTTGTCAGGGTCTGCTCGTAAGGGCCAAGGAGGCTGCCACGCTGCCATCATTTGCTCAGCGCATGGCGCACTGCCGCACTAGGGATCAGCGTGCCGCCGACAAGGTCGTCAAGATGCAGCAGCAGATCGCTCAGCTTGAAGATGCCAAGGCCCAGTTGCAGATGCAGGTGCAGGCCAACAATGCGGCCTTGGACTACCAGCAGGCCAGACTGGTGCAAACCAAGCGCGAGGAGGAGGAGGAGGAGGTCGCAAAGAACTTCTGGGCGGACACCTCACCAGACAACAACTGCATCAGCAAGTTCGCCACACAGACGAAGGAACATGTCAAGGCCGCAAAGGTGAAATCAGACGACGCAGAGTTTCAGAGTCTACTCAGCGAGTTGGCTGGGTTGGTGGACGCTACCCGCAGCACGCAAGACTGGCGCCGTGGAGGATGGCTCATGTTCAGATCAGTACATGGGCACACCGCAGTTCGACAACGAGTTGGCGAAGCATGTGCCTGAGGTTCAAGGAGTTACAGACGTCGCGCCATCAGTATCAGCAGCACGCTCATGAGGCAGCTCGGCAGCAGGCGTTGGCGTGTGCAGGACACTCAAAAGGCCCTGGCTCAGGACGAGGCTCGGGCTACCAGCTGTACCGCGGGTGGCGACGACAGCGGCTACGGCGACATCACGAACACCTCGGCGACGGAACCGTCGCGGAGGACCATTCTCTCTTCAGGCAGTACTGAACCTGGCGCGCTGTTGGAGGGACAATCCTCTGGCAAGGCCCCTCTCTTTAGTGCAGCAGCTGGTTTTCGGTTTGACTAGTTTAAGGGGTCCTGTTGGGGCTGTGCAAAGAAACGCCTCGTGGAGCTCGCAGGGGGTCCCACCAATGTCCTCCTGGCCCAAGAACCCACCTCAGTTCGGACCCCGGGATCGCCGAGGCATCGGATTGGGTCGTCAAGCAAGGCTGGAAAAAAGTTCTTGGGCCCCGTAGGCCGCCACCGCAGCTTTGCCTCTTTTATAAGCAGCCCAGGCGAGGCTGGCACGTCAGCTGGGGTTGTCGCTTTCGCTTTTGAAGGTCTAGGATGCTACGCCCTGGAGGCTCCCGTTGGGCCCCCTGGAGGAGTTGTGGTTCCGCACCGTGCGTCGGACGTTGTCGAGGAATTTCCTTGGACTTCAGGCATATCATGCGTCTCTTTATATGCGGCCATGTCGAGCATGTTTTTCGCCATAGAACATGGACATCTTGGAGGCAGTCTCGGGTCTCGTGAAAGCCTCGGGCATGCAGTACGTTATCGCAGGGAAGTCCGTCCAAGTCAGGGCCAGTTGAAATTTTCGGGGTGCATCACGCATGTGCGAGGCCAGTTGTTTTGCCCCTACCTGTCCACTGGGAACCTGCGTTCCAAGCCACTCGGTCATTGCTGTGTTCATCGTAGCAGAGCAGCTCGCCGAGGCTGTGGGAGAACCCGACATCGATTTTGACTGGGGCGCGAGGCCGCACTTCCCAGTGTCGCTAGACATGCCGCAATCGCGCGGAGAGGTCAGGGTTCTTCAATGTTCCCGCGTGCCCATCTTCCTCTTATCCTGTTTGGCAAAAGCGAGGAGGAGGAGGGCATCGTGAAACTGAGTAGCGTTGACTGGACCCGCGTTGACACCCATGGAACAATTGCGCGCGGGTTCTGCGGCTACCCGCGTCTTGTGGGCAGCAGCCGCCGAGCAGGCATCGGCGCGGCGCACGGGCCTCCGTCTGTCGAGAGCAGGCAAAAGAGGGGGGCGCGCAACCGCAAGTGCCACAGCTGGTGGTCATGCCCAAAAGGTTAAGCAAGACCAGCGCCCCCCCCCGTCTGCGCCCTCTTGGAACGTTCCCCGAATGCATAAGAGGATCGCGCCTTTGGAGGGGGAGGATTGGGAAGGACATGGGATTCTGGGCAAGGACTCGACGCCAGCCGTGCACGAACTCATTCGGAAGTTGGGGGTCGGCCAAAGCGCATCATGCCATGCAGCGCGCTTGCGCAAGGATTTTTCTAATCGAGTTGCAAGATTTCCTGCGTTTTCGCAGAGGGCAGATCGATCGCGCCAACTTGAGCGCGCCAGCCGCGCGGGCTGGTCGCAGCCCAGCGCGTTCTCAAGGCCCGCGCCGAGTAGCGGGCCAGCTCTATCCGGTCCGAAGCTCGCGCTGCCAGCTGGCGGCAGTAGAAGCATTGGGCGGCGCCAGCTCTGGACAGCGGGGCCGCGGCTGCTCGCGGGGGGCGCGTCGAGTGGGGGCCTGGCGCATTGATCGTCTCGCGGCCTCCGCGCAGAGCGCCCTCCGACGCGTGGAGGGCCCAGCTCGGGGGCCCCTGGTGGCCCGCCGCGGAGCCTCCGCGCAGGGGCGCCGCGATCCGCGATCCTATCGGGACCCCCTCCGCGGACTCCATCAGGGGCCCCTCCGTCGTCTCCCTCGGCGGCCGACGCGCGGGGCGCCCCAGCATGCTCGCCGACCAGGCCTTCGAGGCCTTCGCTGGGATCATTGATGTGGCCGAGGTCCCCGGAGAGATCCCCGGACCAATCCTGCGGGTTTTTGTTGCTGTCCTAAGGTCTCTGGGTGATGCAGACCGGCGGGCGCATTTCCGATGATGCGCAGGTAGACAGGCGAGCCGCCCGTCACGCGAGCGCGGGACTGGTTTGCCGAGCACGACCGCGCCTGGTTTTCGCGCGGCGCTGGCTGGTCGCCAGCGGGCGTCGCGTGGCGGCGGAGTCAGATCTGAAGGGGGTGTCCCGAGGGGGGGATCTCCCGCTGGAGTCTCCTGGGATGTGGAAGCCGTGTTCGAGCAATCGCGGGTGGGTCAGGGGCGGCGCTTTGGAATTCGGTTGTCCTGAGACTTGGCTCGCCCACCATCTCGTGGGTCGCGGCTCCTGGGGGCGCGCGGCGTGGAAGGGGTGCGTGGCCGACCCGACCGTTGCCGCCGTCGGTTTTTTTTGGTTTTGTAAAAACAAAACAAGAGTGTGTGTATTTTTCCTTATTCTTCTCCTTTGTTTTGTTCTTCTTCTTCCTTCTTCTTCTTCTTCCTCTTCTATGTGCGCATTTGCTGTTGCGGGGCCCTCCTGGGCGTAACCTCGCTGCGCGCTGCGGTTCTCCTCGGTTTCTACCTGGGCGAGCGCCCATGACTTGCCGCGGGGCGTCGCGGGGGGCGCCGCATCTGACCGCGGCTGCGGCCGATGGGCCTGCCCGCCCTGTTGAGATTGATCTCGAGGTTAGCGCTGCGGTTCACAAAGGGTCAGCCTGTGCGTCGCCTGGGTCGTTGGCCCGTCTCTTCGTGGCGGCCCTGGGCAGAGCCGGCGGCGAGTTGCGGGCCGCCGCTGCAAATCTCGGATGCAAGTTTGCCGCGGTGACTTGGCTCGGCAGGCGCGGCAGCGCCGTCGAGCGGAGCAGCGGGTTCAGAAGGGCCCGGCGCCGTTGCCAAAGGTCGCGCGAACTCGCGTCCGCCGCTGGCCAGGGGCGCAGGAAAATCGCCATTGCCAGTTTGCTTTCTGCTCGCGTTCAGGTGGATGGGCTCATCCGCGGAGCTTCCTATCCGCGTCGCTCCTTAGAGGCCGCTCAGATCACCCCCGTGCTCCGCTAGGAAAGCCTCGCAGCTCGGCTTTCGTCGCGGCGGGGCCCAGGACCGACCGATGGGCCTTCGAGCTTGTCATTCGATTCATTCGATGGGCGCGCGAGGTCTGGGGCGCCACTGGGGGAGCGCGCCAATCCTGGGGCCGCTGCGCATTTGGAGCTCAGCGACATTCTTCCAGACGGCCCGCCCCACGGGCGCCACTGGCAAGATTCTCCGCTGTGCCAGAACCACTCAGCACAGTTGCCCGCGCCTTGCAGAAAGTTGATCGCGGGCCCCCCTCGGCCTTCGCCCTTCGAGACCATTCTGTCAGGACAATCGGGCTCGCGGGCACTTCGCCAGTGCAGCTGGTGGATCTTCATCGGGGCGCCTCGCAGCATCGAACGGAAGTTAGAGCGGCCGGAAGCATGGCCCCCTCCCGGCCCATGTCCGTTTCCCCCCCCCTACGTTGCCAGCCCTTTGATGTCTGCCAAGTGTGAAACATGCCCCCGCCTCGGGGCAAAGCCATTGTTCGAGCTCTGGTGGTTCAAGGGCGTTGGGCTGAAGACAAGTCGGCGGAGCTTGCGGACGCCGTGCTTCGCGGGCGCCGTATCTTCCGGCGCCCGGAGTCAGTCGCCCTCAGGATTGAGTTTTTGAAGCCAGGCGTCGTGGAAGCCGCGCTCCACGCGCCAGAGCGCAGCCCGCCGCTCTGGTTCGGGGTCCTCGAGCACCTGGGCGAGCGGCATAACGACTTCACGCTGCCATTGGAAGTGCCCGCTGTCGAGTTCAAGCGATGCGACCGCCTGCCAGAGACAGCCCGCGACTTCGGGGGGCTCGCGGGGATTGACGGGTCCTGCGTCAGAAAAGGGATGACACCATTAAATCGGGCAACGTTCTCGGTGGGGTGGCGTTCGTTGGCGACGCGATTCCTTCAGCCTCCATTGCTGGGACCAGTGCCAATCCCCCTCGGGTCCCCCAGGTATGGGAACGCATGGCTTTCCTGTCCAAAAGGTCCTCGCTGAGCCGGCTGGGTCTTGTGGACAGCAAATCGGTCTTTGATCAATATGCCAAATTGGTGCTGCAGCGTCTCAGCGCTAAGCACAATAAGTATTCTTGCCTCGACAAGCTTGCGCTGGCGCCAGATAGCATGAAGTTTGTTTTGCAATAGTCTGTCTAGATTTGAGAGTCACCGATGCGTCGAGTATTTGACGGATGAGTTTGAGCTAGCAGGAGAAATCATTCGGGCTGCTGGCTTGGCCGCTAGAGAAGCGCGTGTCTCGTGTCGCCCAGACTGTGATCCCACTGCGTTTCAGCTGCTCAAGCGCGCAATTGCCGCCGACGGAGCGGTGGCCAATCATGCCCCCATAGCCCTCTCTCTCTCGCTCTCTCTCTCTCTCCCTCCCTTCGTCCCTCTCTCTCTCTCTCTCCCTCCTTCCCTCTCTCCCTTCCTCTCCTCTCTCTCTCTCTCTCTCTCTCTCTCTCTCTCTCCGCGAATGACGCAGGCGCCGGAGCGAGCGGGCCAGGTTTGATTGCAAGGAAAAGGCTTGTGGTGTGTCTCGCGCGTGGGAGCTGATTCTCGGCCTGTTTCGCTCTTGCCGGGGCTCTCAAGGCTGCTCGGGGTTAGACGCGTGAGCCGCTGCAGTCGGGCATCGGGAAGGCCCTGGGAACGTGCGCGCGTCTCGCCAGATGGCAGCTTCTGACCTCGCCGATGCGCGGATATTTTACACGCGTTGCGGCTGCTACCCCCGGTGCGACTTTTGCAGCTGGCCAGCTACATGCCTAGGCAAGCCGTCTCTGCGGAGGGCGGGGGTGGAGGTGGGGGCGGGGGGGGGTGCATGCGTCGCGCCAGTGCGAGTCTACTCCGCAGCACTGCAGCGCGATTGAGATACGCGCGCATCAGATTGAGAGAGCTCTGAACAGGCCGCCGCGCCAAGTGCAGCTGCCGCCGCAGCCTCCGCGCGTCGCCCAGAGCGAAGTGCAGGGGCTTCGCCGAGTCGCGAACTCCCTTCGGGAGGGGGACGACTGGGCGCCCTTCCTTCCGCCAGTGGGATGTGCAGAAGATGATTCTCTGGCTCGTGCTGCCTGTGGTGCTGACCCGCAGGCAATGTTGCCTGGCCTGCTGACCCGCCGACTGTCCGCGCGGGCCGCTGGCCTTGCTTGTGGCGAGAATGGTGCGATGCAGGCGGGGCCTCTTTCCCATCCGGGCCACGTGATGCGTTCGCCCTCTGACCCATGTATCTTGCGCCGCTGGCGCGTGCGGCTGGGCCGAACCACTTGCCCGCCGCGCTGTCCGACGCATCTTGCTGGGCCTTCGTGTTCCCGGGGGGGCGCTCGCAGTGCGCGACCTCCATCGAGGGGCTCGTCCTCCAGAGTGGTTCATTCCTGCGCTCTGCGCCGTCGCCGCTCTTGGCACGCTCGGCGCGCCTGCTTGCCGCTGTGCGGTCGTGCGCAGAGGCAGGGGTCCGCCTCCACTGGTGTGGGGTCATCGCGCGGCGCAGGCGGCGGGCCAGACGCCGTTCGCTCATGGCCCCACGGGGAAAAATTCGATGAGGCTCACAATCAAACTCCCAAGGCCCAATGATCCCAGATTCCTTTTGGATGGGCCAGGTCAGCGCTGCCCCGCCTGCTTAGGGTACGGGCGGTGAAGTGCAGGCATCATGCTGCTAGCCCTGGCTTCTTCAGCTTGAGGTCTCCGCGCGGCTTTCGCGACCTTCAGGTGTTTGGAAGCACTGCAAAGGTTTGTATTGCTTTGTTGTCTCTTCGTGATTTCAGCTTCTGGGTGCCTCTGAATGACTGGGGACCTGCAAGAGAACCTGCGACGAGATCGGCCTGGGGAATGGGGTCGATGGCTCCAGGCGCAGTTCCCTATGCTCGACGGCGCTCAGGAAAGGGGGGGAGGGGGGGGGGCGATTTGGGGGGGGGACCCTGTTCGAAGGCATGGTGCTTCGTCGAAGCGTTAGGGCGCTCCGAAGGAGGAGTCTCATCTCAGAGAGCAGGAGAGCTTCTAAACAACCCCGTTGCCTTCTTAAAAGCCCCGCCTCGCCCCGCCCGAGCTGGGCGTGCTGCGGAGATGCCGCCCCCCCCCCCCGCGCGCACACTATTCCTGCCATTCGCCCTCGGTGCTCGGGGGCGGAGCGTGCTCTGGGTCGGCGTGTGCTCGTGGTTTTGTAGTGTGTGTTTGCCCGACCCTTTTTCGGACTTGGAAAAAGGCAGGTTGGTCCTTTCCGTTGCCCCTCTCCTTCCTTCTCTCCCACTCCCGTTCTTGTTCGCTTCCCCTCTCTTTTCCTTTCTCTCTGTCTCTCTCTCTCTCTCTCCTTATTTTGCTCTCTTTCCCTCTTCGATCCCCTCGCCCGTTCGTGACCCACTTTCCCCTTCCAGGCTGCCTGCTCCTCCTTCCTCCCCCTCCTCCGTCCCCCTCCTCCCTTCCCTCACGCGTCCCCCTCTTAATTTCTCCCGTGTTACCTCCTCGTTCCTTCTCTTTATGTGTCTTCCTCCCTTCTCCCTGCTCCCTCCTCGTTCTTCTTGCTCTGCCTTCGTCCTCCTGGAGGCGGCCGACCCAGAACGGCTGCTCTTCTTCTCTGAGGCGGGGGCGCCCTCCCGCGGTCCTGAGAGGGCGAGGCGGGGATGAGGAGGGTGGGGCGATAGTCGCGGAAGGGAAGGATGGAGGTTGTCGCGAGACGGGCGGAGGAGGGAGGATGGAGGGATGGGGGCAGGAGGGGGAGGAGGAATATTTAGCAACAGCGCAAAAACTAATATTATGACTAATAATACGTTTACATCGACATCATTCCTACTAAGGATATTTCCCATTTCAACCTCATGGACAACACTTCTACTAGTATTGTCCCCTTTCATAACAACCATATTATCACGGCTACTGATCTGCTTACTCATACCACTAAGCGTAACCACGCGGTTATTAATAGTACTACTAGCAATCGTGTGATTCATATTATCACCACGCATGCCAAACTTTCATATTACTATGTGTACTTGTCTATATCTATATATGCCAAGAACACTGTTAATATCAATAAGGATAATCGCATGGACACTGATGACAATAACACTACCTTTCATGATGACAGTGCGAAGAGGAAGGCGCCGAGCAGCATTAGGAGTAATCGTAATACTAGTGATAATAGGAATGCGACTCGAAATGCTGATATTAGGCAGCATCATAAACATTCCAACCATAGTAATACTGATAACACGAATAATGAACTGACACTAACACAAACGACACTTATCCTCATACTATTCAGAGTATTATTCATGATAAGCAAGCGAATCATAGCACGAACCATCATGCCAATCATCGTAGTACTGGCAATGCTAACGCTAATGCTACTGATATAACTAAACCAACTATGAAACATGCTGGTACTACGTATATACTGGTAACAAGGGGAGGAGGAGGAGGAGGGAGGGAGGAGGAGGAGGAGGAGGAGGAGGAGGAGGAGGAGGAGGAGGAGGAGGGAGGAGGAGGAGGAGGAGGAGGAGGAGGAGGAGGAGGAGGAGGAGGAGGAGGGAGGAGGAGGAGGAGGAGAGGGGGGGAGGGGAGGGGGAGGAGGGGGGAGGAGGAGGAGGAGGAGGAGGAGGAGGAGGAGGAGGAGGAGGAGGAGGTGGAGGAGGAGGAGGAGGAGGAGAAAGATGAGGAGGAGGAAGAGGAGGAGAGAGTGCGCGAGGCCGACGGCGAAGTTGCGCTCCGCCGAGCCGCGCGGCCGCGGCCGCGCGCCGAAGCTCCGCGGGCACCTCAACCCAGCGGCGCCTGAGGGAGGCGTTCAGCGAGTTCCCGAACTCGAGCGCCTCGGAAGATGCACTCACAGCATCCGCACCTGCACGGCGACGTTCTCCCCGAACGGCGCGCGCCATCCCCACGGCGAGCTTGTTCAGAACGCCCTTCCCCTTGGAGGACCGTGCCGAGCACTCGCGGCTGAACGAACTCGCACGGCACGCCCCAGTAGCGCTGCACGACAAGCAGGCCAGCACGGGCAGCTCGCGGAACACCTGGCGTTCGGCCTGCGGCGTCACCAGCGCCAGGCAGTGTGCCCGCCGACTAGTTGTGATCCAGTGCCGCCGCCACGATGCTGCCAGGGCACTCCGACTTGCGCTCCAGCCACCTGCACGCGGCACACCACCGTTTGCTCTTGGCGCCACGCAGCTGGCATGCCAAAGCCGGCGCGCGGGGCGGCGCCTCGGCAGGTCGCAGAGCGGGGCGGTTGGCCTTGCCCTTCCTGTGCGTCGTGTCGTCGCCTACCACGGCCGCGCCCACCGCCGACAGCCACATCGCGACGCCCTCCACCATGCGCTCGCTCTGCATCAGCTTCAGGCGGTCAGCGAGGGATAGCCTGGCATGCGCCGCCGCCGACTTGGCCGCCTCGTCGGCAAGCGTGTTGCCGTACCAGTCCCTGTAGCTCACGACGCCTTCGCGGACTCGCTTGCAGCTGCAATGGGCCTTGACCCATCTGGCCGAAAGCCCGCCTTCGCCGAGGCCGCCTAAGTCGTCGAGGATCCGCCGCACCTCGCGCCGCAGGTGCGACCAGGCATACACGTTCGAGCGCGTGCGTTCACGCCCGTCCTGCGTGAACCCCAAGACTACGAACTTCGAGTCGACGACGGCCGTGAAGGGCGGCGCCGCGTGCCGCAGCACGGCGGGGAGTGCGCTTAAGTCGCCGCCGTTGATGTCCATGAAGGCCTCCGCCAACGTGCCAGAGCGCCCACGCGGAAGACCTCGCAGTTCGCCATCGGCGCGACCGCGGCCCAGCCCACGCTGGTGCACCTCGTGAACTCGCCCTCGAACGCGGAGCCGTCCAAGAACAGCTCGCCTGATGGCAGGGCCCCGTCGGAGTCGTCGAACCAGGGCAGGTTGTCAGACCTGGGCGGCGCGCAGATGTCGCGGGGCGCCGGCCGCAGCGCGCGCTCCAGCAGACAGCTCACCTCCGGAAGATCAACAGCGCGCTGCCGAATGCGAGAGGGCAGCTGAAGCTCGGCAGGCCAGGCAGGACGACCGCAGTGCTTGTGCAGCAGCGCGCCGTTCTCGCCGCGCAGCAGGCAGTCGCTGTCGAGCGCCGCGCCCGTGGAGAACTCCCGCGCCTGGGGCCGCTGCCCGTCGGCAACCGCGGAGGCCAAGTAGCCGCGCTCCTTCGCCGTGGGCTGGGCCACCGTGCCGGCGGCTGCAGGAAGGTCCTCCCCAGGGCGGCCGTCTGGTGCCCGATGCCCTCTTCCAACGGCGCCAGCGAGGGCGCTGAGGCCGAGGGGCCCGCCGCCGAGTCCGCCTGGGGGGCCGCTCGGCGGCCCAGGATCCAGAGGTACGGAAATGGTATTTAAGTGCCTCTGGATTTGGCCGCCCAGGCCGCCGGGCGCGTCTCTTGGGGGCCATCGCCCCCGCCAGCAGGTTGAACGCGCGCCCCGGAGACGCCCTCGCGGCTCGTCGCGCCCGCGGTCGTCACGCGCGCGAGCGGCTCTAGCATCCCGCCGCCAGCTGGGTGCTCCAGCTTGGGGCGTTTGGAGACCTGCTGTTACTGCCAAGCCTCGACTGCGCGCCAAAGCAACCGGTTCGCCATCCAGGGGTATACGTCGAAAACCTTCAGCATCGCGCCCTCGTGCGTGCGCCAGATAGCGGCGTCCGCGATCTCCCAGTCGACGCGCGCCAAAGACATGCGGACGGCCGAAAACGGGCCGCGGACCTGCTGCCAAGAGCCGGCATCGCACTGTGCCAGGGCGAAAACGCGAGGGCGCGGGGGGCGGCCGCGACCCCCATGCTGCGCGCAGCATAGCCATCGCAGGCGGGCGCGTAGACTGGTTGATCGGGTCGAGGAACCTCGTCATCACGAGGGCGAGCGTCCTCGAAGGTCCGCAGCGGTCGGCGTTGCGGCGGCGAGAACGAGGGGGCGCAGCTTGTCCAACTCCCGCGGCGCAGCCCGTGACGCTGAAACTGAGAAGACGCTGGCTTCCGAGGCCGACCTTGTGACCTTCCTGGTGTCTTGCTTCCGCCCCCTGCCAACCCTCAGGATGTTGGCGCGGCGGGCCGCCGAGCCGGCCTGCGCCAGTTTCCCCTGCCGCGCCCGGCGCGCGATTCCCGCGCGAGAAGTCAACGCCGAGTTGCGCTCCCCTCGCGCTGCTTGGACCCCCGGCGGTCGCCGCAGCCGTCGCTCGAGTTCATTGCGTGCAGCAAGCGCATTAGTTGGCGCCCGAGACTTCTTGGCCGCCGCGTTGAGGTCGATCTCGGCGAGGAGCCCCTGGAGCTGAAAGGCCGCCGCCGCCGCCTAGCGCGTCGCGCGCGCCGAGCCGCCGACGCGGCGGGGCACCGGGTCGTCCGCGACCGCCGCCAGCGACGCCGCGCGGTGCAGGCGCAAGAGGCGGTCGAGCTGCTCGATCAGCACCAGCTTAAGGAACTAGGTCGCCCAGCCATCGCCGGGCAGAGTGGCCTGCCTCGCCTGGGTGGGGCTGGGGGCAGCCCGCCCGAGGCGCAAGATGCGCGGCGCACCGCGCAGTGAAGCCCCGCTTGCAGCGTGAGCTGCCGCGGCGGGAAGCCCGCGCGGACGGCCGCGTTCAGCGGCCAGTGGCGACGCACCTGCTCGAACGCCTTGGGCAGGTCAAGGAGCGCCGCCGCGGCGGCCCAGGATCTCATCGCCTTCCTGGTCTCCCTTCTCAGTGGCCCACTCGCCCATCGCCGCCTAGTGCTGCGCGGCGCGCTCGCAGCTGCGCCCAGCAGAGGCCCGCCAGTACGGCCTGGCGTTCTTGCGCCCCCATTCGACGGCGATGGGCCGACGGAGACGCGCCTAGGCGCGCGCCAGCACCGCGACGATGGCGATGGGTCGCACGCCGCCCAGCCGCTTCTGCAGAAAGCTGATATTGGCGGACAGCTCGGGCCACCGCGCGTCGCGCTCCACGACCGCCAGCGCGTCGATGAACACCTCCAGCGCAGCGTCGCGTAACTCGCCACGCTGCCGCGGCTTGACCGCGCTGAAGGAGACGCCGGAACCCTTCCTGAAAGTCCCGGGCACGCGGCGAAGCTTTGCCACGGTGGGCCGAGGCGGCCGCTCGCCGAGGTCCACTGGCCACCGCGGCGTCGCTTGCTCGCGGGAGGTCCTCCACCGGCGGCTTCATTCCTGCTCCAGCGCGCGCCTCTCCTGGCCCGCGTCCGAAGGCGCGAGCAGCCTGGGGGCTGATGTGAGCTCCCTGTCGTCCACCTCCTCGACGACGGGGCCCTCGTGCGAGCCCAGCGGGACCGTGGCGACGGCGTGAAGACCACCTTTGCCGCCCGCAGTCTGCGCGGCCACCCAGCTGGCGAAGCGCTTGGCCCGCTTGTCGATGTCATTGGTGGCGAGCCGCGGCGACTCCGCGCGGGTGGTCTTGGCTGTGGAGCTCAGCCGGTCGGTGGCCATCCGACGCAGCCGCGGGGCGCGCAGAGCTTGCAGCCGGCGCCGCGCAAGGGGGCGTCGCGGGGCTGGCGACGGGCGCTGCGCGCGCCGCGTCTCCCTTATTGGCAGCTTCCTTAACCGACGCGGGCGCCTTCCCGGGCAGGCTGCGAGCGCCCGGCAGGAAATGGCGACGCCGAAGGGCATCGGAATCGCAGGCTCCAGCGAGCGCGTCTCCGACGTGATGGAGCCAGGTCGCCTCCATGGGCGCGCGTGGGCAGCGGGCGGCGCGAACGGGGAGGCGGCGCGCCCGGCGCTCCACGGGGTGAATCCGCGCCCGATGTGTTTCGCATTATCTTCATTGACCTGGTGCACGTTGATCAGGAAGCGCTGCCGAGCAGATGTGAGGGGGGCGCTCGAACTGCTCGCCACACCTGGGCACTCGCCATTCGCAGTGTCCTGGGCAGAGTGGCGCGCCTCGCCCTCGCCGAACGCGGCGACGAGGGCGGGCGACACCTGGTCCTGGCACTGGGGCGGGGCGCCGGCTCCAGCAGCGCCGCCGCGGACGCCGGCGGGGGCGCCGAGGCCGCCAGGCCCGCCGCCGCGGTCGCCAGGGGGGTCGGAGGTCCATAATTAAAGCTGCGCGCTTTTGGATGTGGCGCGCCGCGCGGGCCGCCGGGGGCCGCCGGGCGCGCCGCCGGGGCCGCCGGTGGGCCGCCCGAGGCCGCGGCCGTGGCCGCAGAGAAGGCCGCCAGGGCCGCGGGGCGCGCCTCCCGGGCATCGCCGAGGCCCGATCTTCGCAGAACTCGGACGCCGACTTCGTGGCCGCGGGGGTCGAGGAGCTCCCCGCGGCCGTGCCTGACCTGGTCGATCCGGCCAGGCCCAGGAGCTGCCGCGCCTCGCCAGCGGCCGCGTTCCATGCTGCCGCGTGGTCCTTGGCCCAGCGCCCGTGGGGCCTCTCGACTGGGAACGGCTTCGGCAAGTCCAGGATGCGAATCCAAGGCGGGGCTTTTATCAGCCTCGGTGGTCAGCGCAACTGGCCGACGTGGGCGCGCGGGCGACCCGCGCGCCACCTCGACGCCCGTCGCGCGCAGGGGGCGCGCCGCCAGAAACATGTCGATGGATCGCCCTGACTGCGCGCAGGTCGGCCGCAGCGTGTCGACGCGCATCGCGTCGAACCACTTGAGGATGCCGAGCTCCGCCAGCTTGGCTTGGTCACATTGAAGTCGCCACCCGCGACGTATGGCAGGCCGAACTCGCGCGGCCTGGGCGCGAGGCCGCGCGGGGCCTCGGTGTTCCCCCTGTTCGCCCCAATCCCCGACCCCAGGTAACGTTGACGAGCGCAACGCCGCCCCGCGCGATGCCGGAGTGAAGCGTGATCAAGATCCGCCCTTCGCGCAGCGCGGGCGGCCGCCCGCCCGTCATGGGCGCGAGGCCGTGCCGGCGCGCGCCGTGGAGACGAGGCCCCCATTGCCCAATCCGCCTGCTTGCGTTGGCGCCGCGGCGGCTGCCTTGGCCTTCCAGCCGCGCTTGCCCATGTCGCTCTCAGCGTCGTGTGACCTGGCCGCGCGCAATCGCGTCTCCTGCAACGACGCCACGTCGCAGCAATTCACTTCGTCGATCGTGCACTTGTCGACGTTGCTGAACGTGTTCTTGTTTACCGCGCGAAACTTCCCAGCCCTGGCAGGGCTAATGCCGCCGCCGCGTGGCCTCCATTGCGTCGGAGTGCTTGGACAGCGACGAGCGTTGGAATTCCTCCACGAACTTCCTCTTCTTGGGGTCCTGGCCGCAGAAGTCGTCGTTGAACGACTTCCAGATCTCGGACTCGCACTGCAGCTGCAGCAGAGAGTCGACCTCCATGCCGTCAGCGCCCTGCGCGCCGCCAGCAGCAGCGGCTTCAGCACTGGCGCCGCGATCGCCCGCATAAATGCCCGCTCCAGGTGCCGCCGCTGGCGGAGGAGCGGCCGCGGGCGGCTTCGCAGCCGCCGCGTCCGCAGCGATCTTGCCCAGGAGCTACTGTAGCGGCGCCGCGGCCGTCCCGACGTCCGCCCCGCGCAGATCCGACGCGACAAAGTTCGCGAGCGTGACGCGCTGAGCCAGGGCGGCGGAGGCTTCGGCTCCTCGGCCTCCTCGGCCTCCTCGGCAGCAGCCGCCGCCTTGGCTTTGGCGACAGCCTCGTCCAACTCCAGGCGGAGCTTGCACACGCGCTGCTGTTGCTCGTCAGCCGCCAGCAGCACCTGTTCGGTGACCGCCTGGCGTTTGAACAGCAGGTCCGTAGCCTTGTCCAGCTGCGCGGAGTGCACTTGGGCCGCCTTGACCACCATGGCCGTCGACAGCTGGCCAAGGGCGCTCTTTGCCATGAAACGCTGTTGGCGGAGCGCCTGCCGCCGGCCGCTCTTACGGGTCCAGCGACGCGGCGACGTTGTCGAACGTGCCGTCTTCCATGGCCTGGTAGTGCAACCGCTGCTCGTCGCCCAGCTTGGGCTTGGGCTGCGTCTGCCTGGCGGTGCCACCTTCGCCAGCACGGCCACGGAGAGGCTTGTCCTTGCCTGCCACGCCCGCGGTTCCTGGCCCCTTGGCCCACACTGCGCCAGCAGGAAGCACAGCACGGCAGCAAGCTGCCACGGCGGCTTCGGCTGGCGTCCCGCGGGGTTGCAGCCCACGCAGTTCGCCTGGCGGCAGCGAGCCCTGTTCCAGAAGTTGTAGCACGCGCGCGTGCCACAGTGCCACCCATCTCCACCAGCGCCGCCGCTGCCTTGCCCCACACTGCCACGGCCCATCGCGGAATGAGAGAGTGACTGCGCCGATTGAAAACTTGAGCCAACATGGCTACGGAGAAGGAGGAGGAGGAGAAGGAGGAGGAGGAGGAGGAGGAGGAGGAGGCGGGAGGAGGATGCAAGGAGGGAGGAAAAGAGGTAGCGATAGAAGGAACTGGGCGAAGAGGCTGACAAGTAGGACAAGGAGGATCTCAGTGATGGTAGCCTGGCCGTGGAGGAGGGGGAGGAGGGGGAGATGGGGAGATCGAGGGGAAGACGACGAGGAGAAAGCCAGGGCTGTCGAGGACGAAGAGGAGGCGGAAGAAGGAGGAAGTATGAGGACGGAAGAAGGAGGAAGGATGAAGGTGGAGTCAGGATGGAGGAAGGAGAAACGAGGATAATGAGGAGGATCAGGAGGAGGAGGAGGAGGAGGAGGAGGAGGAGGAGCAGGAGGAGGAGGAGGAGAATGAGGAGGAGGAGGACGAGAAGGAGGACGAGGAGGAGGAAGGAGGAGGAGGAGGAGGAGGACGAGGCCCAGGAGGCCTACGCAGCTGGGTAGCAGGGTTTGCGCCGGGCGTGCTCACGGGTGAGATGCAGTCCTGCCCCCCTCGAGAAGCGCGTGGGTTCCTGGGTCGGGTAGACAAGAGGCGAACCACGGAAAGGTGCCTGAATCACTGAGGTTTTTTGTCTGTTTTTTGTTGGGCCCTCCTTGGAGAGTTCTTGGATCTCTCTTCGAAGGCGGGGCCGTGGACAGGTCGAGGGGTCGATCTTTGAGGTGAGTCCGTGGAGTCAAGGCACGACATGGCGATGCGGCACAAGCGAGGCGACTGGAGGGCATGTGGCGGGGGGGAGCGGTCTTTGTCCCCCCCCTCCGCTTCCTCTCCTCTCACTCCTGCTTCCCGAGGGAGGTGAAGGAGGAAGGTGGGAGGTGGGGAGAGAAAAGATCAGGGAGGGGTGGGTTTAAGGTGTGGAGGGGCGGGGAGGGGAGCCTGAGGAAGTAGGAGGGGCGCAGCAGGGGAAGGGTGGGAGGGACGGAGTTAGGAAATGAGAACATGCGTCTCTGGGTCAAAATTGTGCTTACGTGTTTGATTGGGGGGGTTCTGTGGAGGCATTTCTGCGTCCAAAAGGTCTCCGGGGCCTTCCTAGTTCGAGAGCTCGTGTACATCCTGTGCAGGCTGCTCCTTCTCTGCCCCACTGCTCCTTCTCTTCGTTTTTGTTCCCTTCTCGTTCTGCCCTCTCCTCCCACTCCTCATCCTGTTCGGCACCGGGCCCCCCCCCGGGGCCGAAGACCACCAGGGGCCCCAGGGTACACTCTGGGCCCCCTCCCCTCCCGTAGCCTCCCTTGGGCCTTCCCCCCAAAGGCTGCCCCAGGAGGCTCCCGAAGCTTCAAAGAAGCTCGCGGAGGGACTCAAACGAGTCCCATGAATCCCCCCGGGCTCCGCAGGAAGCTTCCAGAGCTCCACAGAAGCTCCAAGAGGACCTCTTGACAGTTCCAAGATGGCTCTGCAGTGGGACAGCCCAAGAGGCCCCCAAGATGCCCCCAGGAGACCCTAGCTCGAGAGGGCTCCCCCAAGAGAGCTCCGCGAATACCCCAGGAGGGCCCCGGAGCCTCCCCAGAGACTCCCTGAACGCTCTCGGCGCCAAGATGGCCCCAAGAGGCCCCCGGAGGCTGGCAGTGGGCCCCCCAAAGACCCCCAAGATGCTTCCAGGAGCCCTACTCGGCAAACGAGAGGTCCCCCTAGCGGCCCCCGCAGAGGCTACAGGATACTTATTGCAGGCCTCCAATCGACGACACCTCCATTGTACAAACACTCTCCCCTTCATCCGCCTCTTTCTCCTCCTCTTTCTCCTCCTCTTTCTCGCCCTCTTTCTCCTTCTCCGCCTCCTCCTCATCCTCCTGCTGCATCCTCCCCCTCTCCCTCCCACACTCCTCCGTCCTCTCCTCTGCTTCCTCCTCCACTCCCGCTTTCTTCTCTCACTGTCTTGCTCTCCTTCAATTGCTGCTGCTTCTCCTCCCGCAGCCAGGGCCAGGCGCGCCGATCGGAGGGAAGAAAAGCGACACCACCGCCACCAGGAGTGCCGCCTCCAGCGCGGGGGTCCACGATTCCTCCCCGCTTTTGGGGGATAGGGGGTGTCTCGAGCGGGGGGGACCCCTCCTGGCTCTGGTGGTGGTGCCATTCTGAAAAAGGGGTGGGCATTGGGTTTGGACCGGGAAGCCTCGACCCCTGATCGCCTCCAGGGCCTGCCCAGGCTCCCCCAGGAGGCTCCTGGAGCTGTGCGCAATTTCCGTGAGGGCCCCACGACGGTCCTAAGAGACCTCCAGGCTGCCCCAGGAGGCCTCCAGCAGCACAACGAGGCCCCACGAGAGGCCCGGGAAACCGCCAGAGTGCCCACATAGGACTTCCAAGCGGGCCACATCAGTCAAACACCAAACGGAGTCCCAACGTCGTGGGCGACTGGAGACCTGGACCGCAGGGAACGGCGGGAGGGGGTGGAGGGGGAGGGGGTCTCAAAATTCGTCTGATCTGTGCAGGGAGAAGATGAATGTGGGAGGGGGAGGAGGAGGGAGGAGGAAGGAAGAGGGTGGAGAAGGAGGAGGATTTGGAGGATGATCACGGAGGAAGGGGAAGAGGAGGAGGATGAGGAAGAGCAAGAGGAGGAGGAGGAAGAGAAGGGAGTGAAGAGAAGGAAAGGGGGGCATGAGGAGGAGGACGACGATGTCGAGGTTGACGTTGACGTTTGGGCTCGGGCGTGTTCACAGGTGGACAAAACGTGGTACATCAGCGACGAGATCGAGGACCAGGACGCCGAGGGGGTCAGTGTCCTCTTTTGGGGCGAGGGGCTGGATGATTTTCCTCCTCAACTTCTTCGTCGTCTGCCCTGACCCTTCTGGCGGCCCGACGCAGCCTGCGTCTTATGTTTCACACTTGTTTATGCTTGCGGGTATTTTCGCGGGCGTTTGGCCCGCCAAAGACAGAGACGGGATACAATTGGTCCCGAGGAAGGGTCGATAGCACCGTGGGCCCGCGACCTAGAAACATCGGATCGTCGCTGGTATGGGCTCCTCCCCCCCTTCTCCTCCTCCTGCCTCATCTGCCTACCTCCTTCGGGTGTTCGATCCTGGGCTGCTCCGCGCAATGGCGGTGACAGGCGTCCTGTCGCCACCGGGCGCTGCCCGTGGATGCAGCAAGAACCTCATGTCCTGATTCTGGGGCAAGCACTGCGGCAAGCACCGGCAGCAGCCGTCGTCCACACAGAAACGTCCGCCCCATGGTGTCTGGCAGGATGGTGCTGGCCTTCGTCTCTTCGTCTCAGGTTGTCAGCCTCCTCTTCGCCATGGGCTCCTTGCTGTTGGAGTTCCTTGACCAAGGGTGCGGCAGCCGCTTGTGGATCTGGTTGTGTCTCCGCAGGCTTCTCATCCACGGATCTGGCATTCTTCATTGACCTCACCAAAAAAGCGTCCTTGCGATCAGGAGTGTTGCAGCAAGTACCAGCAGCAGCTGGACAAGCTCACGGGTCACATCCCTCCTCCAGTGCCATTGGAGCAATGTGTGCCCCAATGTCAACGTGAGCAACTCCCTTCTGGCGAAGGAGATCCAGTACGAATTTGACAAGCTTGACACATTGGAACAAGACGTGCAAGAGCAGCGGGACCACATCACTGCTATTTCTTCGGACCTCGCCCATCAGGAGGAGGTCTATCACGAGCTCGTCAGCAAGCTGGCCTCTAAGGTCTAGTCTGTGTCCGTATCGGCGGTGGAAGCGCCGACGAGCACGAGCTCTCGCACGAGGTCGAACAGAAGCTCGAGCGTTGCCACAAGGCTGTGGTGGACGGGGTCAAGGGCCCCCTCGAAAGAACTCTCTTCCGAGGCGCTCGGCCAGGCGAAGCAGGTCCGCGACGAGCACGCTGCTCACCGTGCGAGGCTGTCCAAGAAGAAGCGCAAGGGCCAGGACGGTGGAGCAATCGCTGCGGACAGACCCAAATCCCCACATTTGGTTCAGGCAGCGGTGGAGGAGCTCCTGCTGCTGATCGTGCCTCGGGGGACGGTGCTTAGGCCGCTGCTGCTGCCGCTGGTCTGCCTCCTTCGGGTTCTGCCTCGGCCGCTGCAGGATCTCCGTTTGCTGCGCCATCCGTTGGGGCGGCCCTTCTGTGTTCCGTCAAGGTCCGTGTTGCCAATACTCAGCAGAAGGAAGACCCCCCTCACAGCCGTGAGGGAGGGGGAGGCTACCACACGTACCAACACTTGGAGTCATCCAGGAGGCCCCGACTCCCCCCTTTTGGAATCGTTTCGATTTTCTATTGCTGATGTGAATGGGAACGCGTGGTCCTCCCTCCGTAAGGGCCCCTTCAAGCAATGGTTGTATCGTTTTGACTCTGGAGCGCACGCTCCAAGCAGGGGACCCCGCAGACATGGCGACTGTCTGGTGCCCCAGTCGAGGTTTCAACTTCTTTTGGGCACCTGGCACCTTGGATCAGTGGGGAGATTTTTCGTGCGGTGTTGTGATTACTGTTCGATCCTGGTTATGTTTGAATTGTCCGTCAGACGCAGGAGTCTTGTGGCCTCGCCGAGCCCCTGGCAGCAGTCGTGCACTCCCCTAGGGGCCAGCCCCTCCTCATCTCCTCCCTCTGCATGCGCGATGATGGGGGCCTCTCTGACGCCAACCTCTAGATCCTTTCTGCGGTGGGTTCGTCTGTGGCGAGATTCCGGGATTACTAATTGTGTTTGGCGGGGGTTCCAACGTGGAACCTCAAAGTCTCCAGGGCACGGGATCTCCCAGAACCTTCGCCGTCAAAATGTTGCTTCGGAGGATAGAACATGTTTTGGAGCAGGATGCCCGGAACACTACGATTTCTTCAAGCTGTCAGGCGGTCTCTCGCAGGCAGTTAGCGCGTCGGCCCAGGCCGACCCACGTTTGATCCCGCGAGCTGTGGGCACACTCGGCAGACCAAGAACTCTGCTCGATCATGGGCTGACCCTTTCCATGCGACTTGGCCAGAGGCAAAAGGACCGACTGCGTGGTGGCGGTCCGTTCTGGGCACGACCGTGGGTCGGTCCGTTACCCTGAGCTCCGATGTGTGAGATGGTTTTCTCCAATTCTCAAGGCGTTTCTGCGTTCTTATGGCGAGCTTCGCGAAGACCCCCTTGGCTCGTTGAGGGCGGACTTTGACGGGCGTACTCGGAGGACAGCTGAGGCACCCCCCTTGATCCCCTTCTCAGCAACAAGGGTGGGTTTTCGAACGTTTCCCAGGTGGCAGCAGATATCGACGGTTGCTGGATAGGCGAGCCCCCCTCGGCTCTTCCCAGTTTTTATGCGGCAGGGCATCTTGACCAGGCTGTGCCTTTGGGCTCTTCCGTGCTAGATGGAGCTGGGCACGTCATCCTTCAGGTTATGGACAATTGAGTTGATAACTACAAGCATCAGTCTTGGGAGGGCTGGGTTGCCTGGCGTACGGAAGGTGCAAGTCAAGGCGTTGGGGGGTTCATGTAATTTCTTTCGGCCCTGCTGAGTGCCGCCCCGCGTCCGTGCGTGGCCGTTGTGGGGGTGTTTTTTTTTGAGCGCGTCCCATGGCTCTCCAAACGCGTTGCGAAATGTTCAGGCTTCTCTTCTTGGACATCGACCAGAGTCGCTCTACCCCTGAGGTCTGCTCGCGCCGCTCAGCCGCGGCGCTGGGCGGGTTCCACGCGGGGCGCTGCCGGCGTCGCGCAGATGAAGCTCGCGCCCGCGCTCCGAGCTTTCAGCGTTGCCCTCGCCCTGAGAACGGTCCTTGGATTTCGCCCTACAGGCGCGTCTCCGGGGAAGGCTCCGTCGCCCTTAGGCCCCGGGGTGGGGTAGGGACCGCATGCGCGCCTGAGGGGGAGGGTGGGGTTCAGCTTGCCGAACGAAGGAACCCCACCCTCCCCCTCAGAAATCGTGGGGGGGGTAGGGTTCGCATGTGGCCCCCTATGGGGGGCGCAACGCCCTCATTGGCCGCGGTCAAGCACAGATCTGCTGCGGACATTGTCTGGCGGCAGAGCCTCGAGGCCGACATCGGCACTTCGGCGGGGCCCGCCCTCGTTCTACGAGCAGATTCCGCTCCACTTCTGGAGGCACGGCTAGGGGGCCACATGCGAACCCTACCCTTACCCCCCACCCTCCCCCTCAGAAATCGTCTGGGGTAGGGGTAGGGTTCGCATGTGGCCCCCTAGCGGCGCCATCGGCTTAACTTCCACCCGACAGTTATCGGGGCGTGTCTCGCCGCTTTCCGATGGAGGAAGGTTTTGGTCCTCAGCGGAAAAGTCGCATTGGGATTCTTTGCCGACGCTGGCCTCGTTGCGGGCTGCTCGGCGACTGCGGCGGTCATCCACGTTTTCGGGATCGGGGCTTGCGGCCGCGTTGTTCCGCCCGCTCGATTTCGCTCGACGCGTGCGCCGATGACAGTGGCCTCGACGGAGCTGGCCCGCTCGAGAATTTGGCGACCGATGCTGCCAGCGCTGCTGGCCAGTTCGAGCAGGCGATCACTTGTGCGTTGAGGGCCCGCCATGCGCTCGACGAGGTTGGTAGCGCCACCAGCAGCAAGGTCATTCCCGCCAGGCTCCGAGAGACTTTCTGCAGATCTGCAAACCCCGCCGCGAGACGGCGGTGAACCGTGGTGATGGCCGCGCCGCTGGAACATCTCGGCGCGTCCGAAGACGCAGCGCACATACTGGGGCTTGCCTCGCCGCGGCAGCGCGGCGCTCTTGGCGCGCGCGCGCAGCAGCGGTGATTTGCGTTGGGGCTCTGCAGGCGCTCCAGCGCGGGGCGGGCGTGCGCGGCGTGTCAGACGGCGAGTTGCTGGAGGTCAGGCGCTTGGCCGCCGCCGCCGCCATGGGGCCGTCTTGCGGCGGGCGCCCCCCCCCCCTGTGCATGTTTGCCCATCTGGAAGATGGTGTTGCCTGGCATGGCTCTGTTGACCTTCTCCGCTAGCGTAAAGCACTGTGGCTGCCCCGCTCTCGCGTCTGTTCCCGCGCGCTGTCTTGGTCCCAGCGTCGAGGGAACTGGCAGCGAGCCTGAAATCATCCTCCCCGCGCGCGGCGCTCAGTCGAGGCCCTCAGGGGGCGATGTGTCTCACGGTTTCGAGATTTGGATGGGTCATGGGCATTCTTTGCGGGCTGTGCGATAATGGAGGTATCGATGTCTTTTCCCCGATGTCCTTCTCCCCCTCGTTTCTCCTGTCCTCTTGCAGCGGCCGTGTATATCAGAAATTTCACAGCTGGAGTGTGGGGCTGGCAGTGATTGCGTTGGCAGTTCTAGGCTGTGCCTTGATGTTGCATGTTCTTCGTTTAGTTTCATGCGTCTCTCTTCCAAGCGACGGGCGCCATGGGGAATCTTGCGCGTCGCGGTCTTGGGCCCAGGAGCCGCGCTAGAAGCTTTCGCTGCGACGTCGAAAACAAGTGTTTTCGCTGTGGGGCGATCGGGAATGCCATTTTCCACCGTCCCTGGCACTGCCCTTCATGCGAAGCTGAGCGGGGAGGACTCATCAAACCCGCTTTGCTTAGGCGTATTCGGAGCGAACCGGGGTCCGACTCCATTCCCGGGTTTAAGGTCCTCGGCGGAACGAGCTTGTTCCTGCCGCCGCCCCTTGCCTTGTCGATGGCAAGGTGGAATTTTCCTCCGGCTGAAAAGTTGTAGTGGGCTATTCCGCCGTGCCCTTAGCTGGAATTGTTTCCCCTTGGAGTCCTTGCAGCGGCCTTGTCATGCAATGCTTCGCGAACGCGGATAGCAGGTCAGAGCGGGTCTCCAAAGTGAAGGTCCACTTTTCAGAGGATCCCAGCATGGATTGGGATGAGCGTCGTTGTCTTCGCGCCACGAACCGCCATCCCCCCACTTTCGTCTAGCGTCGACAAGGACATCTGGTTTTTGGAGTCTGTTTGTAAGGCTGTTGCCACCCTTGCCGCCCACCTCCTTGACCTCTGGTCCAGGGCCGACCTGGACGGAGGTTCTTGGGGCGCCCTTCGCCTCCTGGACCTCCTTGGGACCTGGGTCGTGGGGCTGGGCAGGGCTGGACCTAAACGCTGTTTGCTGGATTTCGGCTATGTTTTTGCTTTTCGTTATGGCAGGGAGGTACAGGAAATCAGGTAGAGCAAGACGAAACAACAACGAAACACAACGTTTAGGTCCAACCCTGGGGCTGGGTTGGCAGATTCTGGCAGTGTAGCGAGCGCCTGAAGAGTTGTCCCTGTCCTCCGCCAGGGAGATGTGCCCGCAGACTTAACGTTGATCCAAGGAAGTTGCGTGAGCTCGGTCACAGGTGCGTCGTCGCTGACTGCAGCGGGGGCAGCCTCGCTTTCTTCTGTCGGACTTGTTTTTTCTGACCCATCGGGTGGTGAGTTGCACAGCTTGTGGGGCCCTTGTCGGGCCCAGCCCACCCCTCAGGCGTGGTTGCCTGCAGCAGGTGGCCCGGTGGTCGTGGTTCTGTCACATCGCTCGCAGGTATGAAGCTTGGTCCAGACCTTGAAGAGTATCCCACCCTGAGCGTTCTGTGGTCACGGTCGATCTGGACGGCATCGGCGTCGTGTAGCCTTTTCCGATGCATTGGCCCGTCGTTCGGGTCTTTGGCAGTTGGTGTCATCAAACCATCATATTCCTCCCCCTCCTTCTCTTCCTCGAGCTTTTCCCCTGCCAGCCTTCAGCTTTTACGCATAAGTTCAACGAGCAAGCACCGAGGGTTGGCGAAGGTGGGTGCGCAACAAACATGGGACCCATGGTCGAACACGCAGCTGCACTCGGCTTCAGCAGGAGCCTCCCCTCCCATCCCCAGTCCCGCTCCCCTCCTCGTCCTCCTTGTCCAGCCATCTCCCTCCTGCATGCTTGTCGCTCGCACTGGGGCTGCGAGTAGACCCTCCCCCCCTTGCCTCCTTAGGAGCCTCCGTCCTTTTCCTCCTCCCCCTCCTCCTCTCTTCCTCCTCCTTCGTTTACCGTCTCCCTCTCTCCCGCCCTCTCTCGTTCGACCCGGGGCGGCCGAGGGGCAGCAGGCGAGCGGCTGCCCGAGGCCGAGGTGCCCGACGCTCGGCGTAGCCTTCGGAGGGCCCCCCAGGCGTCCTGCCTCCTCGTCTCGGGCATTGCGAGGGGTGGCCCTGGCCCCGGGGGACCCCGATCTTCTCCAGGGGTTCGGGAGCGGAAAAGAGGGGGGTGATGACTAGGGGGGGGTGGATTTCATGGCGCGGGCCATGATTCTTCCTCAGATTTCATGGCGCCTCTTCTTATTTCATTACGTCCCTGGCCCCCCCGCTGGGCCGCGCACATGCCGCCGGTCATGATTTGCACCCCCCCCTCTTGGAAACCCCCCTCTTTGCCGCTCCCGAGGGGTGCTCCGATCTCGGGAGGGAAGGGGATACCAGTGACGCATCGCGCGTGGGGGCCCGGCAGCGAGTTGCTCGCCTGCTTTTGTCTGAGGGTACGTACGGCTTGACTACAGCGGCAGCGCGCGGATCGGTTCCCCGCGGCGGCGTGTCACTGATGCGCTGTTTGCCTCCCCTCACCGGTGTCGCGCGGGGTCACTCTTGCAGACGCGACCACGAGACATCCACAGGCCCACGCGCGGCCAGACCGAGGTGCACAGTCGACGCGCATCCTACGTCTCCCCCCCGCAGGCGGGGTGGGTCTCCAGATATGATGGAGTGGGGAGGCGGAGGCCTGCCTGGAGCCCCCGTGAGGTATCAAGGCATGAGTACACCACATCGTCAAGGCCTCACGCAATCCGTGCATCACGACATCAGTCCGTGAAACTATGCACCACTGCATCAGTGCATCAATCCATGTCTCCCCTCCCCCCTCCAGCCGTCTCGTCCCCACCTCCCTCCTCTCCTCCATCACCCTCCGCCTCGCCGCACGCCGCCCCCCTCAGCACCCCCCACTTCGCACCCACACCCTCAGCGGAGGGGGGGAACAGCGGCGCGAAGTCGTGCCCCTTGCCGCCCTCGCCCTCCTGCCCGCGAGACCATCGTGGGTCGGTGAAGCCATGTCCACGGGAGGGAGGAGGGGGGGGAGAGGGGAGCGCGCCCTACATCACATGTGGTCCTTCGGCCTGGCCAGGAGCCGATGCGCAGGAGACTTTGGTCCAGACCAAGCCCATATAGAGCCCGTAGAGACCTGGTGGTGGTGAGTGCAGCTGCTTGCGGTAAGTCCCGCCACCGTGCCAGCCTGGCACTCTGGGTGACGACAGTTCGAGAAGTTCACAGGAAGGCGCATCGTGTGACACCTCGCGTCCCGAGGTCTGGGAGAGCCGTACAGTATGACACGCTCTTCCGCATGTTGGGGTGTCTTTCCTCGCGTTCGTCGTCTCATTCCCTTCCTCTTCTTTTCCCTCCGCCTCTCTTGGGGCCTCTCGGAGGCTTCTTGGGGGCCTTTTGGAGGCCTCTTGGGGGGTGTCTTGGGGACCTCTCGGGGTCTCTTTGGGGCACCTTTGACCGTCTTACGGCGCTCTTGGGCAGTCGCTGAAGGGTCGTCTTGGGGACACTCCTGGGCCGTGGCGTCCTTGGGCTGTCTTGAGGCCATTTTGGATGGGACCATCTTAATCCTCGGGGGCCCTCTTTTGGTACTCTTGGGGGCTCCGCTTGGCTGCCTCATGGGCCGTCGTAGACTTACGGGATTCCGGGAAGGTGAGAATTCGAACATATGGCAAACCCCCTTGCGACAGGCACTTGTTTTGATTTCTTCTGGGTCTACGAGGGGTCCTCTTGGAGCCCTCTGAGGTTGTTCCGTTAGCCGTCTTCAGGCCACCTTGGCACGTCTTTGGGCGATCTCGGGCTGTCTTTGAGGCATTTTGGACCATCTTGGCGGCTTGGTGGCTTCCCTCCGCCGTCTAGGAAGCCATCTTTGACATATTTGACGCCTTGGAGAGTGCGACGGGGTCCATTATAACAATTTAGAAACCCAGCCAGACAGCACTTGGTATTCTACCATGCTGGCGGTTTTCGACATGGCGTTGTTGGCGGTGGTGGTGACCTACTGGCGCTTACGGCTCACTACCGGGGAAACAAGAGACACGGATATTGCTACTCCCCAGTTCTCTCCCAGGGTGCGCTCTGACGCTCTGACCAGGATTTCGAGGCGAGTCTGGCCGTGGTGACGAGGCCATCCCTGAAGGCTCAGAGAGGCGAAACTAACAACAGGCTTGCAGTATCGGTTTCTGTTTCGTTTCTGAGCTGTGGAACGCGGAGCACCCCCGAGGTCCTCTGCATTGGCATCGCTCGGACGTGTGCATTTTTCGGCGAGGGACCATCGCGGAGCATCCCGGATCATCAAGCAAGAAACCACGCACGATAACGAACCCTGCACGGGGAATGGACGCTCGAGTGATGGCAAGGTGCCGCCTTCGCGGAGTCCGCTGCCCACCGCCCCGGCGGGCTGGGCCCACCCCTCAGAGGGCTTCGACAAGGCCACCACGGACGTGCCGGAGCCGCTCGGGCTCCGGTGGCTGAAGGGCAGCGCTGTGCGGGCCGAGGACACTGGCAGGGCGTCGGTGGCGCCCCGAGCCCTCCTCGCCGCTGCCCGTCGCACCCGTGCTCGGTCTCTTCGAGGACGACGATGAGGGCGAGGGCGACGATGAGGGCGAGGAAAAGGGCGAGGACGACGAGGAGGGCGAGGACGACCAGTGACTAGGAGGGAGAGGAGGAAAGGGGCGAGGACGCCGAGGAGGGCAAGGAAAGCACCGGGAGTGTCGGACAGCAAAACCCGTGCGGCCGTCGTCGTCATCATTGCATGCCGCTGCCAGCACCGCCGCCAACGCTGCCGTCGTCGTGGTGCTCGTCCCCTCTGCGGCCCCCTCCTTCCTCCTTCCTCTCGGAGGCATCTTGGAGGCCTCTTGGGGTCGTATTCAGGCTTTGTGGGGCGGCATCTTGGGGCTCGCTGAGGGGCCTCGGGGAGCCCTGATTGGGGTCATCGTGCGGAGGCCATTGGCCAGAAAGAGGGTCCCGAAAGAAATTCTCAACTCTCTTGGGCCGCTCTTGGATTGTCTTGGGAGCCTTGAGGATCCTCTTGGGGCTCTTCTGGGCTCCTCTTGAGGCCCTCTGGGGGGCAATCGTCTCAGAAGCCCATCGGAGGCGAGAAGGCGATAGGGCAAACATTGGAGATTCTATCGTTGTCTCAACGGTTTTGGCCTCCTCTGAGCGTCCTAGTGAGACTCTATGGACCGGCTCCATGGCCACCGGCTCGTTTGGTGGTTTTCTTGAGGCGTCACTGCAGCAATTCTTGACGCTTCGCGTATCCCCACCAGCCCATCCTACACCAGAAGCTCTTTCGGAACCGTCTTGGCCCATCTTTCACTATCTTGTGAGCCTCCTGGAGGCCTCTTGGGCGTCTCTTGGGGCGTTCTTGAAGCGCTGTTGGAGGCCTCAGAGGCGCTGGTAGAGCCCATATTGGAGGGGATCTGTCAAAGAAAGCGGAAGCACTAATTAGCGTCGCTCCTGGAAAGCCTCTAAAATCGCCTCCTGAACCGCTCTTGGAGGGCTCTTGGAGCGCTCTTGGGCGCTCTTTGCGCCGTCTTCGGGCTTTCTTGGGCCCTTCTTGGAGCTATCTTGAGCCATCTTGGAGCTATCTTGACGCCTCGGGTGGGCATCGGAAGCGAAAGCGCGAGAACGCCAAAAACATTGATTTTCCCTAGGGTTTTGAAACATTTTGGCTTCTTGGGGGCATCCGAGGGGAGCTCTAGTGGACACTTAGAGCCGTCTTGGGGCGGTCTTGGAGCGTCTTGGAGCATCTTCGGAACCATCTTGAGGCATCTTGCGCTATCTTGAACTATCTTGGAGGCGATCTTGGGCTCCCTGAGGCCCTCTTGGAGTCGTCTTGGCTCATCTTGGACGCTCCAACGCGTCGCGGCCCCCCCTGTCCAGGTCAGTGGGGAGGGGGTGGGGGGAGGGGTAAACCCCTCCCCGAAGGGGAAGAAGGAGGGGTGGAAGAAGAAACGCTCTAAACCACCGACGCCCAGAGGGCTAGTGGGATTCTGGTGGAGGCCAGCGACGAGAAAGAGCTGGGGGGGCACAAGATTTTGTGTGTGTTCCCTTTGGGGTGCTATTGTTGGCCTTAGGGTCAGGGCCCCCTCTTGTGAACACGGGTACTGCTACTCGCCGCTTTCGAGTTGCTTGCTATCGCCGCCGCGCCGCCACCACGTCGAAATGTTGCGCGTGGCCGTTTTTTGGCTCAAGGTGCCCCCAGTCTGCGCTGCATGAGTACTGTCAGCTTGTGAGTAACAAAAGGCTGCCCCCCTTCCCCCCGGGGCTGATGAATAGACCCCGCGGGGCGCGAAACCTTTTTTAAATCACGCGCGCCAGGGGGTCGTCGCTGGCGCCGCCGAGGGGTCGTGTACCCCCCTGCATGACAGCCTCAAAGCGACTGCCTTCCGCGTAGAAGTTGTTTTACGGGTCGTACACATTCGAGGCGAATGTTTGTTCCCCCTTTCAGGCTTCGTCGTCGTCGTCGTCGTTGCCGCCGCCGCCGCCGTCGTCGTCGTGGTCGTCGTCGTCGTCGCTTTCTTCGTCGTCCTTGTCGTCGTCGTCGTCGTCGTCGTCGTCGTCGTCGTCGTCGTCGTCGTCGTCGTCTTCGTCTTCTTCGTCGTCGTCGCCTACAGCGGGCCTGCGCAGCATCCCCCCCCACCCCATAGGGCATCCGCAGTGTGTCGTCGTCGTCGCCGCCGTCGCTGTCAACCGTCCGCCATCCGTCGTCCTCGTCCTCGTCCCGTCGTCGTCGTCGTCGTCGTCGTCGTCGTCGTCGTCGTCGTCGTCGTCGTCGTCGTCGTTGCGTCGTGTCGTCGTCGTCGTTGTCGACGAAGAGAGCGGACGCTGGAAACGGGCGCAGGCAGGGCGGGGGACGGCGGCGACGACGGCGACAGAGGGAGAAGGACTATCCGCCTTGGTCGGGTCGGACGAAAGGCTGGGGAAGGAAAAGGGAGGTTGCAAAGCATGCTGCGCGCAGTTGGTTTCGGTCGCCCCGCCGAAGGGCCAGTCCTCGATGCATGGCCGGTTTCGGCGTCAGGAGGCGCTTGGAAAATCGGCGACGCGAGCTGCTTGGCACATCGCCCCTTTGCTGCGCCCCACTTTCGTCCAGCCCGCCTTGCCCGCAGGCCCGCGTCGGTTCGACAGAGAGAGGGGCGCCCTGGCTCGCCCTTGCCTCCAAACACCCCCCCCTTGCCCCTCGTCGGCGGCCAGGCGTCGGCGCTAATCACCGGCGCCGCCCCGTTGATTTTCAATATGGTGGGCGCCGCCCCGCGATTCGCCCGAACAGGGGGATTATTGTTTTATACGCGCGCCCCCCACGGATTTGTTAATCACACGCGTACATTCTTGGCAAGGATTTGCGAGCTTGATGCCGTTCACCAATCAGAGCTTGCCTCTGTTGGGGTCCTGGCGGATTTAAGGGTAGGTGAGGTGTGCCGCCGATTCGGTGGCCGGGCCCGGGTGCCCGGGTGCCCAGGTGCCCGGGTGCCCAGGTTCGCCGCCGATTCGGTGGCCGGGCCCGGGTGCCCGGGTGCCCGGGTGCCCGGGTGCCCGGGTTCACCGCCGATTCGGTGGCCGGGCCCGGGTGCCCGGATGCCCGGGTGCCCGGGTGCGCGGGTGACGGGTGCCCGGTGCCCGGGTGCCGGGTGCCGGGTGCCCGGGTGCCCAGTGCTTTGTAGCCCTATATCCCTATCGCCCTATAGCCCTATAGCCCTATAGCCCATATGGCCATATAGCCATATAGCACACATAGCGCCCCAACGCCCATATAACCTTGTAGCCCTATAGCCCTACAGCCGTAAAAAGATTATGATTGGGTTTTTCTCTGGTATCATTGGTTTTGTCGACAAAGTTTTGTTTGTTAAACACAGTTCGCTTGGTCTTTCATCAGATCGCACCTAAACTTGGCCGGAAAAAACTCCAGGATCGATCGGGGATCCCGAAATCAAGAACGTAAGGATTTGACACAATTCTATACGCTTCGCGAAACCCCACCAGCCCATCCAGGAACGATGCCCGGTCGAGTTGCCCAGATCAGGGATGTGGATGAACATGCCGTGGAATAGCGGGCAAGGGAACCCAGTTGGAGGACGATGGGTGAGGATGGAGAATGCAGGATGGGGGATGGAGGATGGAGGATGGAGGAGGGGGGGGGGGACGAGAAGGGGGAGGGGGAGGAGGGGGAGGAGGAGGAGTAGGAGGAGGAGGAGGAGGAGGAGGAGGAGGAGGAGGAGGAGGAGGAGGAGGAAGAGGGGGAGAAGGAGGAAGAGAGGCCGTGCGATTGTGGCGGACTTCCTCGTTTTCATATGTTTTCTTTTATCGAGTGAAACGCTCCGTCGCCTTTGTGTGTGTGTTTTTATGTTGTTCTATGCTGCCTTATCCTTTCCTTCTCTTTCTTTCGTTCGTTCGTTCTGTCGTATTCTGTTCCATTATGTTCGTCTTTCTCTCTCTCTCTCTCTTTCCGTCTCTCTTTCTTGATCCTTCTGGTTTCGACAGCCTTCAAGCAATCATCGCCCCCCGATCATGGTCTTCGAAATTCCAGTCCTGTGCTAAGCGGCATGGGGTTGAAATTTCGAGGACCACGTTCTGGGGGGCATTTTTGGGGGACCTTCGGACGCTCTGAGGTGTTTCTTTAATTTCCAGCGTTGTCTTCCTGTTTTTTCTTATGTTTCGTTCCCTCCCTTATCATCTATCCCGCTCTCTCCGCCTTTCTCTCTTCCTCGCTCTCTCTCTCTCGTTCCTCTTTCGTTTTTTCGTTCTGCTCTCATCTTTCCCTCTCTTTCTCTCTCTCTCTCTTTCTCTTTCTCTATCCTCGATCCTCTCCCCTCCACTTGAGGCCCGGTGTGCATAAGGAAGGAGGAGAAGGAGGAATGGAGGAGGAGGAGGAAGAAGAGGAGGCGGAGGAGGAGGAGGATCACATGATGGAATCGTGGAAAGAAATGCTGGATATTGCAACTTCGTCTGGAGCTCGTGATGCCGTCGGCGGATGCTAGCGGAAGCTAGCCCTCAGATAGGGTTGGGAATCCTGATGCGCTGTTTGGGAGGGCGTCGGCTAGTATGTCCGATGCGGTTGGCGGATGCTTGCGGAGGTTTGCCGTCACATTTTTTAGCGCAAGGTTTATTGTGCTTTTGAGGCGCGGGTGAATGAGGGAGGGAAGCTCCAGGAGGTACGAGGAGTGATGAGGGTGAGGACGAGGGAGGTGAGGACGGGGGGGGGGGGGGCGAGCGCTTCCGTAGCCTTTTTGCCTCAAGGCCTCCTGCTCCTGCTGCTCCTCCTCCGCTTGGGTACGGCTCCGAAAAGGGCGCCGTCCTAAGGAGCTGACGCTCGAGGAGGTGTTGCATGCGCGGCGCGAGAAGGCGATCTCAAATCCGATGCCAATGCAATGTCGTTGGGGGCAATCCTTTGAGGTAGATTTCAAAAAGGGATCGTCTTCGCGGAGGTTTTCAATAGGAATCCTTCTGCGAAGGGAGGCATTGGGACTCGCCTGCGCAATGCTAAAGCAGTGCCAACGCAATGCCAAACCAATGCCAAGGCGACCCCAATCCAATGCCAATGGGGTCAATCTTTTGTGGTAGATTTCAAGAGGACTTCTTTCTGTGGAAGGTTGCATCAGGAATCCTTCTGCGAAGGGGGGCATTAGGACTTGCCAGCGCAATGCTCAAACAGTGTCAACGGAATGCCAAGTCAATACCAAGGCGACCAGGATCCGATGTTAATGCAATGTCGGTGGGGGCAATCTTTTGTGGTGGATTTCAGTAAGAATCCTTCATCTGGGGGTTGCAACATGAATCCTTTTGCGAAGGGATGCATTAGGACTCGCCACCGCAATGCCAGCGCACTTCCACCGCAATGCCAACACAATGTTAAACCAATCCCAATTGGGGGCGTCCGCCCTTGGGGTATTTCAAATGATGTCATTGCGAACCCATGTTCGGAGGATTTTAGTCGGAATCCTTTTTGTGAAGGGGTTCGAATGCAATCTCTCGGTGGAGGATTTCAATTTGAATCCTTCTTGTGTGTGTGTGTGGGGGTCAATAGGCATCCGTCTTGTTGGGGTGTGTTAGTACGAATTTTCATGTGGAACGCCCGAGTCGGACTCGCCAGCGCAATGCCAACGCAGAGCCAGCGCAATGCAACACCAATGCCATGTCGATCCCAATCCAATGCCACTGCAATGCCAATGGGGGCAATCCTTTGTAACAGATTTCAGTAAGTATCCTTTTGTGGAGGGTTCCAATAGAAAACCTACTGCGCAGGGAGTAGTGAGGACTCGCCACCGCAATGCCAGAGCCATGCCAAAGCAGTGCCAACGCAATGCCATCGCCATGCCAAGGCGATCCCAACCCAATGCCAACGCAATGCCAATTGGGGGAATCCTTTGTGGTAAAGTTCAATAGGAATCCTTCAGTGGAGGGCTTCGCATGGAATCCTTCTGTGGAGGATTTCAATATGAACCCTTTTTTGTGGAGTGTTTCAATAGGAGTCCTTTTTGTAGGGGGTTTCAATGGGAGTCCTTCTGTGGAGGTTTCCATCCGGATTCGCCAACGCGATGCTTTCGAAATGCCAGCGCAATGCCAACGCATTGCAAAGCACAATTCCAGCGCAATGCCAAACCATGACCAAACCAATGCCAATGGAATGCCAAACAATCCTTCTGCAGGTGATTTCGATAGGAACCAATTTGTGGAGGATTTCACTAGTAATCCTTCTGTGGAGGGTTTCGATCGGAATCCTCATCTGGAGGATTTCACTATGAACCCTTCTCGTGGGAGCTTTCAACAGGAATCTTTCCAGAGGTGAAGGCGGACGAGGCCACGTCGGTTTCTGTTTTTTCGCCGCCGCCGCCCCCGCCGCCCCCCCCAGAAAAAATAGAGAAGCAAGACAATCTGGGAGGTTGGGAGGAGGAGGAGGAGAAGGAAGAGAACGAGGAAGAGGACGAGGAAGAGGAGGAAAAGGAGGAGGAGGAGAAGGAGGAGAAAGAAGAGGAGAAGACAGAGGAGTAATGATGCGTTACCCTGTAGGAAAACCATGCGACAACACCACTCGAAAGGCGAGGTCCGCCACAATCCCCCGTTCTCGAGGAGGAGGGGGCAAAGGGAGCAGTGAGGAGGAGGAACAGGCAGAGGAGGAGGATGAGGAGGAGGAGGAGGAGGGCGAGCAGCATGGCCAGAGGCCGCATGCATGCAATTCATAGTCTTTTCGGATGTCTCTTGAGAGCTTCTTGGAGTGCTCCTGGGGCGGCTCGTTTGCTTCTTGGCGGTTCTGGGGGCCTCTTGGAGCGTCTTTGGTACCTCTGGAAGCCTTGGGGTTCTTCTTGGGCGCCTCTTGGGAGCCCCTCGGGGCCTCCTGGGCACCTCTTGGGGCGCGGTTGAGAGCCTTGGGGGCCATCTTGGGGCCATCTTGGAGGAGCTCGAGCAAAGAAGGGGGGGCGCTGAGTCAGGGTCCCGCCCCCTAGGAGGCCAACATGGGCCCCAAACCTAAGTAACCACTTATTTTTGCTTCTTCGTTGAGGCCATCTTGGACGCTCCAACGACCCGCCGCCCCCCCCAGGTCCAGGGGGGCAGGGTGAAGGGTAAACCCATACCGGCTTCACAATTTCAAAAGGTTCTGTCCCTCGTGGGGGCACGCTTGGGAGGCTCGGGGGCCACCTCTCTGCCATCTTGGGGCCTTCTCGGGGCCCCCGTGTGTACTCCAGCGGCCCACCTCGCCCCCCCCCCCCTCGTCTGGACCCCTGGGGAGGGGTGCCAGAGGTATGGGTTCATTGTCAGGGATGGTTCCGGAAGAGGTCGCATCCGAAATCACCTGCGCCTAGGGAGCTGGTAAGTTTTCTCGAGCCTCCCTCCAGCTTCTGATGTGCTCACCCCGAAGCGCCTTGGCCAGCGGGGCTGCAGTCTCTGCATGCCCGTGCGTGCGCAGATGGATCGGGCCTCGCCCCCGCTTGCTAATTTTGCCTACCGATCCTCCTTACTCTGATCATCACTTGTCTCTCCCTCCTCCCTTCCGATCCTTCCGTGCTCCCTCCGCGCGGTCGGAGACAGATGGAGGAGGGGCTGTCGCTGTCGCAGTCGCCACCGCCACCGCTGCTGCCATCGGTTTCGTCCTGGGGGCCGCCGTCGTGGTGGTGGCGGTCGTGGTGGTGATGTTTTTGATGCTGGCGGTGATGGTGCAGGTGGCGATGGTGGTGGTCGTGTTCGTGGCAGTGATGGTGGTGGTCGTGGTCGAAGTGGTGATGGCGGCGGTGACGGTTGGTGTCGGCGGCCAGTCTATGTCCCGCCCCACACCTCCGCGAGGAGCGGGCCCGCGGCGGCGGGGCGGAGGCGGGCGAGGAGACGGCCCGCCGCTCTCCTCCCCAGGTGTGCGGCGCCTCCCCCGCCGAGGAGGGGGCTGGGGAAGGGGGAGGGGGAGGGGGCAGGAGGAGGAGGAGGAGGAGGAGGAGGAGGAGGAGGAGGAGGAGGCAGGAGGAGAGGAGGAGGACGAGGAGGAGGAGGAGGAGGACTTGCCCGCAGCCCGCTCACAGCCCGCAGCCCGCGCATCTTGAATCTTCTGGTAGAGAGCACAGTTCCCGCTGTTCGCTGCCAGTCGCGGCGCGGCTATTTTGGACTTGAACCTGTTTCGCCAGGCACGTGCGAGAAGGAGGACGATGATCATGAAAAGGAGGGACGGGATGAGGGCGAGGAGGAGGAACGGAGGAGAAAGAGGAGGAGGAGGACCAGTGTGAGCCCAAGACGTTTCAACGATGGTGCAGTTAACCCACCCTCCAAGCTCCCTCTATATAGGTCCCTGTCAGAATTCGATTCCATTGCGGGAAATGGCCCATTCGAAGACAACCGCCTGATAATTCTCAATCGTTCCAACCACACACTTCTTGGGAGGTCAACGCCGCGAATCAACGTGACTGTTACCCCCTCTGATCGCGCCAAAACACAGTTTTGTGGATTTCAACCTACGATTCCTTAAACCAGTTGGGACAATTAACCACGAACGTGCGCGGCGCTGAGGCGAGAGCTAAATAACAAAAACCGTCCAGCGTGGAAGTTGCTGCAAAGTTTTAACGAAAGTGCGCAGCGCCGACGCGAAAACCACATGTTGAAAACCGCCCACCCTCCGTCCGTGAAGCTGTTGTTCACTTTTCGAACGCGAATGCGCGCGGCGCTGAAGCGACAGCTACTAATTCAAAATTCCCAATTTTCCAGCTTTGAAGACGAATGCGCGCAGCGCTAAGCCTGTATGACTACTGTGGAGGCCAACTGCGCCGAGCTTGACGAGAGCTGCCAGCGCCCAGCGGACGTGTGCATTCCCCGCTGGCGCAACGGCGTCCCGACTGCCCTTGATTTCGCGGCAACCTCCAGGCTGCAGGGCGACCTCTTTGCAGCCTCGGCAGCCGCGCCAGGCGCCGCCGCCGCCAGTTCCCCGACGCGGCGCGCAGCTGCAGTGCGTCCGGCGTCACTTTCATACTCAGGGTGATGGAGTGCACGGCGGCGCTTGGGGCAAGGAGGCGCGCCGCGCGCTCACCGTGCTGGCGAAGCGCGTGGCTGACGCCGCAGGTGAGGACCCCGCCCTCGTGGCGGCGGAGCACGCCCACGCGGGCCGTGCTCCGCTGGCAGCAGGCCCCAGACATGGCGCCCGCTGCCTGGCTCGCCGCGGCGACGGCGGCGAGCTCGGCAGACGCCGCGCGAGCGGCCGCCTTGTCGCCCCCGACGTCCCCAGCCCCCCCGCCCTCGCCCCCGCCTCCGCCGACGACCCGCCCGCCGCGCCTGACGCACGGTGGACCCTGTTGTGGCGGCCCTCAGACCCCCAGAGCCACGACGATGCCGCCGATGCCCTTGACCCCTCCCGTCCCCTGTCCGCCCCCAACGTGCGCGCTTGCCTGCTGCTGCTTGTGCCCCCCCTCTCCTCCTGCGCGTTGGCATGTGCTCGCCGTATTTTCCTCTTCCGCCTCGCTCCTCATTCGCCTCTGCCTTGTCGTCCTCCTCTTCTCCTTTCGATCTTTGTTCTGCCCGCTCTTCCGCCAGAGTTTCTGGCGCGGCCAGTGGGCCCTGCGTCGAGACGTACTCGGGGCCGAAGGGCCTTTGAGCAGGTGGCTTTTCCCCGCATTTTGAAAAACGGGCCGCCCTACGCGCTTGATGCTGATACAAGCTTTTAGACGCATGTGTGCGGTGCTGAAGCGAGAGCCGCAGTTTGAAAACCTCCCGCCCTCCATCAGCGAAGCTAGAGCATTTGAATGCTAAACAGTTTCAACATTTTGGGTCATACGTGGTGGGGAGGTTCCAGGCGAAACGCCCGACCCGCTCGACCGACACCCTCCGTGGTCATCTTTGAGTGGAGGGCTCGGAACTTCGGTTCGTTAGTATTCCCCCTCTGTGGCCCTTCTTGGAGCCCGCCTTGGGGCGCCTTGGGAGCCCGTTTGAGTTTTTTGGGCCCCTCTTGGGTCGTCGGGGGGCCTCTTGGGCGCCTCTGGGGCTGTCTCGGGGCGACCTCGGGGCCTTTTGGTTTTTTTGTTGGAACCCTCCTAGGATGCAGTGGGGACCTCTTGTGCCGTCTCGAGATATCTTTGGCGTCTTGGAGCGTTCTTGGGCCGACACGGGGCACCTTTTGAACCTTGACGGAATCCTGTTGGGTCCCTCTCGGCCCGTGTTGGGGCCATTTTGCCTCCAGAAAATTCACGCGCAGGCGGAATGCCCCGGAATATTTGAGAATTCTGGCTCTTGGCCCCATGCACAGTGATCTTTTGTTGCTCATTGTTTTGCTGATCGGCGTGGGCCCTCCACCCCCCCCCCTCCCGCCCCCTCCATGGAGTAGCTCTTGGCTGTTTTTGGCGCTTGTTGCAGGCAGGTCGAGTCTCCCCATAAGGATTCACGGTTCCACACCGTCG